TCTCTGTTTAGACACTTGAATGTGATTTTCCACATTAAATGGTTTCTTTTTCATCTTTTTCATTCCCATGTGTGTTATATGTGTGTAATCCTCAGTGCGCCAGTGGGTTCATGTTGGTCCATGTGTGTTTACTAGTCTATTTGCTCTTACACTTGTTCTGATACAACTCAACATGATTCTAAAGACAGTCAGGACAGATTCATCTCTGTCCTGTCAATGGGACTTTTTTAGTATTGATCAATTAGTATCAATTAGTATCAGATTTTTGATACTTTTGACAACCCTAATTCCTTCTTCATGTTTTTGTCATTATTTTAAAAATGAATATAAGATATAAGTAGATTATAAAGACAATAAATAACCAACAGTCTAGTGCAGGCAGTGCCACAGACATTTCATCACATCCTCCTGTATCCCTCTGTATCAGATGCCCTCCCATCCTCCTGTATCCCTGGTAAACACTGACCCCTACCTGCTGTTGCCTAGGTTACGTGTCGTGGAGGGACACTCAGGCTGGTTCCTGGTACGTGGAGACTCTGGATCGAGTGCTTTCAGAAAACGCTTCCACAGACGACCTGGTCACTATGCTCATGATGGTAACTCCTCACTCTCATTTCAAAGGACACGTGTCATTACTCATCACATGACAAATGATTTGTGCTAAACCATATGTTAGAATGGTACAGTCTGGAATGGAATATGCCTGTGAATATTTGACCCTGAGGGGCAATTTATGCACCAAGATGGATTCTGGTGAGATCTGTGAGAATCCATCTTGAGATGTTCCCTCTGTAAGGTTCGAATTTGCCCTGCACTGGGCAGACCAATCACAGGGCAGCACTGAAGTTGGGCGGAGCCAAAGATGCAGCACCCAAACTAGTTAAAACAAACATGGCAACACAGACGTCTGTTCAGATAAGAGGAGAGGATATTGCTGGTTTAGACCTGTCTTGAGTTTGATTAGTGGCCATTCATTGGTACTGCAGGAAAAACCCACAAAGCCTTTTCCCCATTACTTCCCTGCACCAGCTCACTGGGGTCGGACATAACAAAAAAAAAAACATGGTGAAAAATGGTATAAAGTTATAAGGTTTAATTAACAGGAATGTACAAGGGTAAATTAACAAAACATGCTAAAATATGTACACAAAATAACCTAAACTAAGAAACAACATAACAGGATTAACATATAACAAGTTTTGTGCCAAACACGAGTCATGTAGTACAAAAACGAGTGATTAAACTAAAGGACACACACAAAACTAAATCACAAATGCCCCAAAGTAAAACCACATAAACCCACAAACAGAATCAAGTGACAAAACAAAAAGGCACAAAACAGAACTAAACTAAACTAAACTAAGTGTGTCAACACAAACAAAGTGAGACATGTACTAGTACAAAAACAACTGACTGACACAAAAGAGACTCAGACACAAAACGGCAGACAGGCCACAAAGGCCACAGCCCCGAACAGGTGCTGGACTCTCCTTGAACAGGGAGGTGTCTGCAGGTGAGGGGGCAGAGACAAGCCCCACCAATCAGGGACCAGGGCTCTCCCAGCAGGACTTAAGACAGCCAGCAGAAGAATTGAAAACACACAAAACAAGGCAGAGAAGTGGAGGCCTGGGGCTGTAACAACTGTAAAACTTTCACAAAGGTCTGAGTTTGTCAGTTTGGAACAGTTTTCTGTTCAGTTTTTTTGAGCTGTAAAAAAGTAATTAAATAAATGCAAGACAAAGTTCCAGTCTGAGTAACATTTCAGACAAAGACAAAACTATATCTCCATGGAGACAAACAGGTGACGGACCTGCACTAGAAAAGTTACACAGTGTAGCTTTAACTTTTGATTGTTCTGTTCTTGTTGAATGAAGTTCATTTTGCTTGTTGCAGGTGAATCATGAGGTGTCTCAGAACTCAGCCAAAGGTCTGTACAAACAGATGCCCGGCTCCTTCAACTTCCTCCGAAAACTCTTCTACTTTCAACCACGAGCTCAGGAGCATCAAAGTTAGCACCGCTACCATAGCAACGCCAGCATCTTTTGATACAGAGACAAAATAAGAATTTACGATTTAAAAGATTGTTTGAGATTCAGAAAAAAACTGTTATTGCCATTGTGAATGACTGTGCAACATAATGAATAATGTACATATGAATGATGTACATATTTAAAGGGCCATTACGCTACTTTCTGATCTATGTTCAAATGTTGTTTTCTCATCACAAACAGAGCCCAAAGTCTGTGAGATTTTCTCTCAAATGGAAAACACTGTGTTCCACTTTGTGATGTCATGTGGTAAAACAGCTCCACTGTGTTTTTTAAACACCTTACACCTTCGCTAGAATCATTTGGATCAGTCCTGAAGTGACTGTCTTTACTGAACTAAAGGTAAAAGGAGATGTCAACTTGAAAACTACCACTTTATGACATCACAAGGTGGAACAGAGCATTTTGAGCTTTGTAGATGTAGCCAGATTAATAATAAAGGGTTACTCAAACATGTGAATGAAACAAAACACAACTCCAGGTCTGTTTTGGAGGAGGGAACAGTATTCTAACAGGACTTAAAGTTCACAAGAGTCACTTTTGTGTCATATAGGATCTTTAAGATTTCTTTGTTTTGCAAGAGCATTTTTACTGTGATTGGATATAAATACTGGATTCAAGAAGCCAGACTGTCTCAGAGCAAAATAAAAAAGATGAAAATGTGCAATTTTTACTTACTTTAAAATGATTTAAATCCAGCTTGTATTTGTGACTCTGTGACAATCGTGTACTGTTTTGTGTACATTTGTAATGTTCAAACTACAGGGACTTTTAATTTAGATTAAAATAGGGCTTTTTCATTTTTGAAAACTACTGAAATTTTGACTTGGATCATTTTTTGTATGTAATTGTGAAATATATAACAATGTTTAAAGTGGAACTAAATAATAAATCCACTTGTTGTTACTGAAGTGTGTATGTGGTGTTTTTATACTTTTATCTACTGTGTGACGACTTCAGTGCAAACCAGGTAAAGGTAAAACTGCACCTTTCTGCTCCAAAACCTTTGTGCTGCCTTCAGTGACTTTTGCAAATTCTAGTAGTTGGTGACATCACACAGCACTGCCCTGATCACAGACAGGTGTTTCTGATACAAGCACCTGTCTGCAGGGGCGGAGCTCTACATGTGGATACATATCATGCACAATCATTTGGCTTCAATGCATTTTATGTATTTTTTTTATAACTGGCCACAATTATTATTCCTTTAAAGGTGCCGACGGGACCATAAACATACCCCCTCTTTAATCCCCCACAAGTCACATACCCAACAAAATTTTCTGGTCCAAAACGGATCCAAAGTGAAGAACTGTCCCAGTCCAGTCGCTTTGGCCTTGTTTAGTTTCTGTTTCAAGTTTTTATTTGAGTCAGAGTCTAATTTCAATAGTCACACTATAGCTCCATTTTGTTCTTATTTCTCTCTATCTTTTGTTCTCATTGTTGTGTCCTTATCGTGGGACAAGTCCAGTTTCTCTTCTGTTTTATCTCGTCTCTTTCACCAGAGTCACAGAGGAACCTTCTTTCTCCCACACTCCAAACCCAGGAAACAGAGGCTCAGAGAAGGACGAGGAGAAGGTCCAGATGTGGATCAGTTCTCCATCAGCGCAGACCTCATAGAAGGTCAGAGCTCCGGCCTCAGAGTCCAGGAACACGCCCACTCTGCCAGAGAACACGCCCCCTTCACCAGAGGACACGCCCCCTGCCTCCGAGTGACGGGAGCGGTGGAGTCGTGTTATGTTGCTGTTGTGACGGACATAGTACTCTCCATCCTCGTAGAGCTCCAGACACCAGGAGTGATCGTTGTATCCGAACCCACACTCCCATCCCTCTCCTCTCCGTCTGATCTCTTTGTAACTCACTGTTAAATAAACCCTCCCGCTCCAGTCCACCTCCCAGTAACAGCGCCCCCTCAGGCCAGTGCAGCCCAGGACCTGCACCCGGTCTGTGAACCTTTCCTCATGATCTGGATACTTCTGCCTCTCTTTCACACGTGTCACAGTGCGATGGTCCTCAGACAGAACCAGAAGATTGTGAGCTGTGTTTGGGTCCAGAGAGACGTCACAGTAGTCTGAAACACAAACACGTCACCTCATTTTTTTGTTCTGATTGTGTCTACGTTTATTGGAGTGCACCTGTCATGCCCCTGATTCGAGATGTTGAGATTTGAACCATTTGAAACAGTGTGAAGAATGAATGAATGACCTGAGCTGTTCTCTGCACTTTTCTGTGTGAAGGAAAGAAAACAGACTCACACTTCCTCAGACCTGGGACCATCCAGCGCTCTCCAGCAGGATCCAACCTGAAACACACAAGTCCAGCTTAGACCAGACCAGGACCAGAGACCAGAAACAAGAGACCAGAAACCAGAGACTAGGACCAGAACAGAGATCAGACCAGGACCAGAGACCAGAAACAAGAGACCAGAAACCAGAGACTAGGACTAGAATCAGAGACCAGAGACCAGGACCAGAGACCAGGACCAGAGACCGGAGACAAGAGACCAGGACCAGAGACTAGGACCAGAACAGAGATCAGACCAGGGCCAGAGACCAGAAACAAGAGACTAGAAACCAGAGACTAGGACTAGAACCAGAGACCAGGACCAGAGACTAGGACCAGAACAGAGATCAGATCAGGAACAGAGACCAGAGACCCTGAGACTAGGACTAGAACCAGAGACCAGGACCAGAGACTAGGACCAGAACCAGAGATCAGAAACCAGGACCAGACCAGGACCAAAGGCCAGAAACCAGAAACAAGAGCCCAGAAACCAGAGACCAGGACCAGAACCAGAGACTCGAGACCAGAGACCAGAGACCAGGACCATACCAGGATCAGAAACAGAGACCAGGCCAGAGACCAGACCAAAGACCAGACCAGGACCAGAACGGAGACCAGACTAGGACCAGACCAGGACCAGAACGGAGACCAGAGACCAGTTCAGGACCAGAGACCAGGACTAGACCAGGACTAGACCAGGACCAGATCAAGACCAGACTGGAGACCTGACTAGAGACTAGAGCAGGACCAGAGACCAGGACCAGACCAGGACTAGACACTAGCATTCTCTCCTTTGACAGACAGCAGGGGGTGGTCTCACCTGACAGACAGCAGGGGGCGCTGGTCCCATAGAGCGGTCAGGAGCTTTGTGGAGGGTCCTGGATGGTTGTAGCTCAGGTCAAACTCTCTGAGGTGGGGGGCAGAGGAGCTCAGAGCTGAAGCCAGAGCAGCCCCGCCCCTCTCTGAGACCAGACATCCAGACAGCCTAAAGACACAGCATTACACTCATGTGGACACAAGGGGGCAGAGTGCATCATGGGAGTGTCTCACCTGAGCGTCTCCAGTCTGCAGGGGGCGCTCTTCAGTCCAGAACACAGCAGCTCCACTCCTGAGTCCTGGAGGTCGTTGTGATTGAGATCCAAATGTGTGAGACTGGAGGAGTTGAGGACTGAGGCCAGAGGAGCACAGCTGTGAGGAGACAGACCACAGCCACAAAGACTGAGGACAGAGAGGGACATTAGAGACTAGAACCTCCACACAAGAGTTTAAATACAGTCTGAGGACAGAGAGGGACATTAGAGACTAGAACTTCCACACAAGGACCACAGGACTCACAGGGCTTTGGTGGAGGCTCTGACCACCAGCAGCAGACCCAGGAGAGCGTTCTCTGAGGCCTGGTATTTCCTCAGGTCAAACTCCTCCAGGTCTGACTCTGAGGACAGTAAGACGAAGGACAGAGCAGACCACTGAGAAGGAGACATGGTTCTATAAGAGAGGTATCTTCTCATGTTCTTCTGTATCGCCTGCACCAGACTGCCATCGTTGAGCTCGTTCAGACAGTGGAACAGGTTCAGACTTCTCTCTGCAGACACACCCTCTTCATCCAGCTTCTGTTTGATGTACTTTACTGTCTCCTGATTGGTCGGGTCACTTCCTGTGTGAGTCAGCAGACCCTGCAGCAGCCTCTGATTGGTCGGCAGAGACAGCCCCAGGAGGAAGCGCAGGAACAGGTCCAGGTGTCCGTTTGGACTCTGTAAGGCCTGGTCCACAGCAGAACGGTACAGGGCTGTGTCAGGGTCTGGTGTCATAGCAGGGACAGAGGAGATCTCTGTATCTGAATAGTCCTCAAACTCTTCTGAGTCATACTCAGGACTCTCAGGGGTTTCTGGTCTAGTTTGTCTTGATTTATCACTTCTTGGATTTAAATTCTGGAGGAGCTTCGTTTTGAGTGTGGATTTTAGGGATCGTTTCAGTGTTTTTGTTTTTTTTGGTGGAGTCTTCTCAGAAGTTTGTCTGTCTGACTGTGACTGTCTCTTTCTCAGTCTGAGTGTTGAATGCTCTTTGGGTCTTGTTTCTTCTGCTTCAGGACTCACAGAGGGGACAAGGAAATCCTCCTTTGAATCTGAATGCTGCTCAGACTCATGAGCAGTACATTTTGTTCTCTCAGAGGAGTGTAGTGTCTCCAGCAGATTCTCTCCAGAGCTGTAGAAGATCTGATGGACGTGAAGAGCAGCCAGAAACTCCTGTACACTCAGATGGATGAAGCAGTAGACCTTGTCCTGGTACAGGCCTGGCTCCTCTCTAAAGATCTGTGTGAACACTCCGGAGTACACTGAGGCCGCTGCAGCATCCAGCCCACACTCACTCAGGTCACTCTCGTAGAAGATCAGGTTTCCTTTCTGCAGCTGTTCAAAGGCCAGTTTTCCCAGAGACCGCACCATCTCCCTGGTCTCTGGAGTCCAGTGAAGGTCCTCCCCTGATCCCTGATGGTACTTGATGTTCTTGACTTTGGCTTGTACCACCAGGAAGTGGATGTACATCTGTGTGAGAGTCCGAGGCAGGTCTGGTTCTGTTTGTTCCAGAAGCTTCTTTAGCACTGTGGAGAGGATCCAGCAGAAGATCGGGATGTGGCTCATGATGTGGAGGCTGCGGATGCTCTTGATGTGGGAGATGACGACTTTGGCCTGGACCCTGAACCTTTTCCTGAAGTACTGCTCTTTGTGGGGGTCAGTGAACCCTCGCACCTCTGTCACCATGGAGACGCACTCAGTGGGGATCTGATTGGCCGCGGCGGGGCGTGTGGTTATCCAGAGGCGAGCGGAGGGAAGCAGGCTCCCCCTGATGAGGTTCACCAGCAGCACGTGCACTGAGGCGGACTCTGTGGGGTCGCTCAGGACCTGTGTTTGGCTGAAGTCCAGAGGAGGTCTGCACTCATCCAGACCGTCAAAGATGAAGAGCACCTGGAGCTGTTGGAAGCTGCAGAGATCTTTGGATGGACTGAAGAAGTGGTGCAGCAGCTCCACCAGGCTGAACTGTGAGTCTCTGAGCACGTTCAGATCTCTGAAAGTGAACGGGAACAGCAGCTGGAGGTCCTGGTGGGCCCGGCCTTCAGCCCAGTCCAGACTCAACTTCTGAGTCAGCACTGTTTTCCCCACGCCGGCCACGCCCTTCGTCAGCACTAATCTGATTGGCTGTGGTGAATGTGGGTGGGCTTTAAAGAGCTCTTCACATGTGATGGTGGTCTCTAGAGTGGCCTGTCTCCTGGACACCATCTCTATGTGTCTGACCTCATGTTCCTGGTTGACCTCTGAGGCTCCGCCCTCTGTGATGTAGAGCTCTGTGTAGATCTGGGTCAGTGGGGCGGAGTCTCCTGCTTTGGCCACACCCTCAAACACACGGCTGAACCTCTGCTGCAGATCACACTTCAGTTTATCTCTGACTCCAGCTTTACTCCCTTTAAACAAGATGCAAGAGTTAGAATGTGAAACATGTTGATTATTTTATATGGAGGGGCATCTGACACACAGGGAGGGCATGTGACACACAGGGAGGGCATCTGACACACAGGGAGGGCATCTGACACACAGGAATACAGGAGGACGGGAGGGCATCTGGAGGTTCTTACTGCTGAGCAGGCGCTGGGCCAGATCCTCGTGGTCCATCCTCTTCAGGAAGTCCAGGGTGATGTTCAAAACCTCTCTGCTCTCCTCCTCCTCACTCTTGGAGCATTCTGGGTAATCTGAGGCCAGGAGCCTGTGGAGCTTCTGCAGTTGTTGTTGGACAAACCTCAGGACCTGCTCCTCCAGAACCTGGAACCACACAATGTCTGACGAAGTGTTCTGATTGTGACATCACCCACAGTGCTCAGCTCCAAATGAAGCTCATGGAGGCCTGCACTTGGAGCAGCTAATGTGTGGAGCCAGAGCCTCAGCAAACCATTATTCTCTTATGGATTCATCTAGCCTTTATTTTTTCCACTACTGGCCCATACAGTCCACACCTCCACACCTCGTCCGATGGTGGGCTGTGAAAATGGTTCTAGTGTGTTTTTTTGTGGTATTTAGTGTTAAACTAAAACATACACAGAGCTTCACTTTAAATGTAGACTGTAAACTTTACATGTAGACTGTACACTTTACATGTAGACTGTACACTTTACATGTAGACTGTAAACTTTACATGTAGACTGTACACTTTACATGTAGACTGTACACTTTACATGTACACTGTAAACGTTACATGTAGACTGTACACTTTACATGTAGACTGTACACTTTACATGTACACTGTAAACGTTACATGTAGACTGTACACTTTACATGTAGACTGTACACTTTACATGTAGACTGTACACTTTACATGTAGACTGTAAACTTTACATGTAGACTGTACACTTTACATGTAGACTGTACACTTTACATGTAGACTGTAAACTTTACATGTAGACTGTAACTTTACATGTAGACTGTACACTTTACATGTAGACTGTAAACTTTACATGTAGACTGTACACTTTACATGTAGACTGTAAACTTTACATGTAGACTGTAAACTTTACATGTAGACTGTAAACTTTACATGTAGACTGTAAACTTTACATGTAGACTGTACACTTTACATGTAGACTGTACACTTTACATGTAGACTGTACACTTTACATGTAGACTGTAAACTTTACATGTAGACTGTAAACTTTACATGTAGACTGTAAACTTTACATGTATACTGTAAACTGTGACACTGATCTGAACTACATTAGAGAAACAATCAACATCATCACAAGCAACAGATTCATTTGTGCGTGTGTGTATGTATGTGTGTGTGTGTGTGTGTGTGTGTGTGTGTGTGTGTGCGCACGTGTGTGTGTGCGCGCGCGTGTGTGTGTGTGTGCGTGTGTGAGCGCGCGTGTGTGTGTATGTGCGTGTGTGTGTGTGTGTGTGTCTGCGTGTGTGTGTTTTGTGTGAGTGTGTGTATTTGTGTTCACAGTACAGACCAGGAAGATGGAGTCCAGCTCCTCCTGAGGCTCCTGGCCAATGGGAATGCTCAGATCCTTGTCTCTGTCGACCAGTAAAAACATTAAAACTGTTCAGTCCTGGTTCAGTCCTGGTCCAGTCCTGGTTCAGTCCTGGTTCAGTCCTGGTTTAGTCCTGGTTTAGTCCTCGGGGGTAATTCCATTAATGTCGCTAAACATAGTGGCACATAAGTGTTGTTTGAAGTACTGTCACCTTTGACTTAAGGCTGAAGCCACTCAGTTCAGCTGAGCCTCATCGCAGTTATTTTGCATTAGGCGCATGCACGGGGCACATAAAAAGCCCAGAACAAGTAATTGTCGAAAACGTGATCATGTTGAAGATTCGGGCAGATTATTTCAGCGCCTCAGAACAAAAACTACTTTTGGAACTGTATGAAATATAAAACTACAATTACAAAGAAGGGAAATACACTTACAATAACCAAGGCGAGAGACATGGCGTGGCAGAAGATTGTCCACAGCTTAAATGTGTAAGTTTAATTTTATAACAATGCTGAATGTTGGTTTTTAAAAGTATGTTTTCATCAGCCTTATCAAACTAAGTCAGTAAGGGAGAGGAATCACTACAGTGTGTTGTGTGGGAGACTTGCGTTCGATACTCAAAGCGTGCAGTTGATGTCATAAATGTTCATATTTGTGAAGCAGTCTAGTCAGATGTAATTTCTTTTTAATGTGTGAGCTTACTACTAAACTTACCTGCATTGAATTATATGTCAAGTCAATGTCACTTTCGGATTAATCCTGGCCTCACAACAGAATGTTCTACCTAATGTCATTATTCTTTTATGCACATTGATGGAAATTGATAAATAGGATTTCATTAAACAGGCTTGCACAGCATCTCTGAAGCAAATTTGTTGAATCATTGAAATGTTGGGTCATGCAGTGTGCCTGTTAATTGCCTACATTTTGTGTTTTTAAAAGTAAAGGTTTACTTTAACTGTATAACTTTATTGCTTGATGGAGATGTCACATAAAATATAAAGTCTCATTGAGGTCAAGGGTTAATGTTAGGCCTAGCTGATATACCGTATTTTTTGGACTCTAAGTCGCACTTTTTTGTGTGACTGTGACTTATACTCCGGTGCGACTTATATATACAAATTTTCATACTGACAGCCACTAGAGGGCGCCCTAGGTTTATGTGTCAGTATCTGCTGCTCCTATTACTCCTGTACCACTTCACTCTACTGTGCATGTCTCCTGCAGAAAGAGCCTCTGTCCTGCTGCAAGTCGTGAAATCTGCAGCTGAAAACGATAATCAGAAGAAAGCAGCAGAAAGAAAGTTTGGAGTGAGTGAGAAATTTGTGACATCGGGAGGATGCACCATGTAACTTTCCTGGAGTCACTGGATGGATGGACAAAGCTTGAACTTCAGTGACACTGAAACCATCCTCTCGGGATTCAGAAAGGCCCGAATAATTGGAATCAAAAATTGAAAAACTGGAACTGATGGAGGTTGTGGAGTTGCTCAGAAGTGACACAGAGGATGAAGAATTGAATGGATTTAGTGATTTGGAGTGAGATGGAGAGTTTGGTAAACTTGTTCTGTTCTGTTGTTTATGTTATAGTTTATCTGAAGAACTGTTCATATGTGACGTTAACAGTCTGTTCTTCTCTCTTCTATTGTTATTACTACAACTTGACTTTCATTTCCTGGTCTCTGATTTTATAAAATACATTTCCCCTAAAAAGTTTGACTTATAGTCCAGTGTGACTTGTATGTTTTTTTCTTCTTCATTACTCATTTTATACTTATATAATTATACATATATATTATACATTTTATACTTATACTTATACTCCGGAGCGACTTATAGTCTGAAAAATACGGTAAATTCTGTGATGATGTGAATAACTGTAGCTTAAAAGGCATGGCATTCTTTCACATTTGTGTAATGTGTCACAAATGTAAGTTGGTGAAAATATAACAAATACTTCACTTGAGCATAAATATCATCAGAAATGAGAATCGAACCTGGGACTCGTACATGACTTGCAGAACAATTATTCACTCAGCTACAGCTTTTTCTGTTGATTTCTGGAAATCGTCATATTTGAAGATATTATAAGATATTATAATATCCGGCGGGAAGTGTGCGGAACAGTTTGTTTGACTCTCTTTACTACACGTACATATTCTTTGTAACACTGATTTATTAAGCCTGATAGTTAACCTGAGGTCAGTTCAGAACCAAATGTTACCCCAGTAACTCAGCTGAGATTCATGTTAGTGAGAGGAATGGAACTAGGGTCGCCAACCGTCCCTTGAAAAACGGAATTGTCCCGTCTTCAGAAACAAAAGTACGCATCCTGTATTGAACTGAAAGGGGACACACTTAGTCCTGTATTACCACGAGAATCAGAAAGTGTGTATTCAATGGAATGGCGCTTTATGAGAAAATTTACAGTAAACGTATTCTCAGTCTCTCCTGCTCTGTGACATATAAGCTGACAGCACACACACCCCGCTCATCATCTTATTGGTCAAAGTTGCTTGGCTCACAGCTCTGGCTTGGCTGTGAGCTCCGAGCCTCCGCGAGCTCCAGTCCGGCCACGAGCTCCAAGCTCCGGCCTGGCTGTGGGTTCTGAGCTCTGGTTCTCAGGTCTTTCTCTTTCTTCCCTTTCTTTCAGACGCCTCTGGGGTGTCCAAATAGAGGCTTCCAGCATATTTTTTAGGGGAGTCACTGATGTACCCAGATCCCATTGGAAGAAAAATTGTGATTTGACCATTTCCATTCCATTATATTAATATCAGTCCAAGTTTATAACAATGATCTAGAAATTATTATTACTGTAGTGTTTATTACTCACTGAATAAAAAAAAAAATTAGTAGTACAAAAATGTATTCAGTATTTTTTCTTGGGCCTTCACTGAAAACCTTGAAACATCAGCCCTGCCAATGAGGTGTCCCTTATTTATTTTTCAGGGAGTTGGCAACCCTAAATGGAACCAAACTCTCACTAAAACCAGTGAGGCTTATTGAAGTTCTCGAGGATTTGTGGTTAGCGGCTTGATGGAATTGCCCCTGGTTTAGTCTGTACCTCTGAGGTGAGCCTTTAAACTGTGGGCTCCAGTCTTTGGAGCGATCACTTGTCAGAGACTCTGCCGTGGGGCCACAGGGGCCACTGTTGTCAATATTAATGCCTAACCCCACACACACAACACACACACAAACAACACACACATGCACACACACATACATACATTCACACTCCTCCTCTCTTTCTTTCACTCTTTCTGTGTGTTGTAAAAGTGTCAGACTTGAGGTTAAATTGACACTGACCTGAGCTGTGCAGAGGCTCCACTTTGGCCTTTTTTAAAGTCGATGTCCAAGCCTTTGGAGATGTTACTTCCCAGAGAGACTCCACTGGGGCCAGGACCTGCTTTAGACCTGATATAGTCCTGGTTTAGTCCTGGTTCAGCTTTGGGTCTACGTCCAGACCCTGGTCCTGCTCCGGAGTTCTCCATTTTTCTGCAAACATAAAAAGTTTTATAATTCACATTTTGCGTTTGTCTGCATGAGGGGAGTGTGTTTCCGAGGTTTGAATTAAAACATTTCAAATCAAAGTAGAAAACAAGAAGAATGAAACACACGGTGAATCCTTGATGTCAAGTGTTATAGACAGATGCATTTTTCTTTTGCATTTTTAAAAATATATTTCTTTATATAAATGGTCTATTAATTGTAAAGATAAACACATAAATGCCTGTAAGGTTATACTGTTGTATTCCTATATTCCTGTATTCCTATCTGACACTGGATGTGACTATGGCAGCACTTTAAACACAAGGACAGTCCTACAAAAGGGGTTTTAGGTCCTGACTACAAATGGGGACGAGTTCAAACAAAGGACCCTGAACTCATAATGTCCCGAGGTGCGACTCATGAAAAATTAAAGTAAGAAAAAGGAGAAAAATAATGGCGGTGGAGGCACAGGTCATCAAACTGTCAGATTTTGAGATCAAGTTATTCTAAAAATTCTCATCCAAATCTTATGGCTAAAAACAAAAACTTGTGTTTAACTTTTTCAAAACAAAACAGCTATATTTCTGGGATACATTTAAAATAGGCAAAATGACCTCAAAGACAGTGATGGGATATGTATTATTAATTATTTAACTATTTTTAAATTGATAAGGGATTACATTTATACAGGGAGTGCATAAAGAACGACATCTCTCCTTTGAGAAAAGATGGAAAAGATGATGAGAAAAGATTAAACAGTGAAAGGAACTTCTGGAAATACTTTGCCATAATGTGAAAAGACAAATATTAAACCCATCTCACACACACACACTCGCGCGCGCACACACACACACACACACACACACACACACACTCGCGCACACACACAACACACACACACACACACACACACACACACAGACACACACACAGCTGTATGTCACTGTACTCTCATACAGTTTTTCCTTTTTGCTGGAGCAGGTGACAATCCAAAATGGAAAAATGATCTTTGCCAGATATGATCAGGTGGAATACCACAGCTTAACTGCAGTACAACAGTAGATTCTTAAAGTACATGTAATTAGTGACTATCAAAAGAGATATCAAATAACTGGCACATTTCACCATGAATCACATTTCAGAATAGACTGAAAAACATTCAGATAAACTTATTATGAACAAATGATAGTTTTGTCTCACACACTTGTTAAGATGATATAAAGCCACATTTATCATGGGACACTTCCTCAGTGATGAAGATGTTTAGGTGCTCCTCAGCTAAAATGAAAAAAACCCAAAAAATTTTACTATTTTACTTCTGCAGGAAATTAGAAGTTAAACGTAAGATTTATGGACACATCACTATTAGGGACAGCAGCAGACAGCCTGTACAGGAGGAAGGCCTGATGCAACCAGCGGCCCACAGGTCTTCTGCAGTCTGGACGTCCTCGTCAGTGAGAGTGGACGAAAACAGTGGAGACACGCATGGACCACTCAGTATGATTTATCTCTCATCTTCTGGAGGAGGAAGAGCAGAATGGGTCTTACGTCTGCACTTGCGCTAACACTTGATAATCAGGGGCCTCCGCTACACTTTCATCACAGCACATGTGTGGAGATCACATGTTGATAGTTTGGAATGTTAACAGAAATGGTGTTTCAACAACGCCACCCCAAATCTAACTGAGGAAATAGAATTTAAATATAAGGCACACAGGTAAGTATATTAAATGAGAGAGCCAGGTTCCATCATTTACAGGGTATTCATTTTACATTTTTAAAGGAAACACATTTTTTTCATGTTAAATGTGCTCATATCACTTTATTTGAGTCATGTGTTTGGAATTTGAGCGTGCTGAGTCACAGCGATTTAATGAAGTTTCTATGGAAGAGCCTGAAGTTTGGAGAAAATGTGACGTCATGACATTGCTTCTGCCCATGACTTTACATTAGCCCTGAAATACGTCTTGGGGGCGCAGGGTGGGGGCGACTTGTAATCAAGTGATTGGTCTGAATAAACATTATCACACACCAGACCTATTGTGATTCAGCTGCTCACTCTGTCCTGCCCAGCACCAACTCTCCACTGGTGCCATGTTACTGCTACATGCTAATGAATGAAGAACAACAGAGCTGTGTGCTGTACAGTTACGGAGAGTTCTACTTCAAGTCAAAGTGCTTCCAAGGAACAGTTTTTAGGGAGTACCGTACTGTAAGTCACACTTTTTTTCATGGTTTGGGTGGTCCTGCGACTTGTACTCTTATCCAGCGCTCTTTGTAAAAAAAAACCAAACAATAGATACATAAAATAATATCAAGTAAATCAAACTAATAAAGGAAACTAAATGATAGACACATAAACAACTTCGTTTTGGAAAGCATCAGTGATTGATTTGGGGGAGGGGAGGTTATCTAACTGTCTATTATGTAAATATTGATTATTGATAAAGCTTTATTAGAGGATCATTTTAATTTACAGTTACTGAAAACAACATTTTGATTTTGAGAATTTTTTCTCTGTGAATATGATATTTTCCAAGAAGTATGAATAAATTCATTTTATTTTTATTTTTACATGTTTATGTGTATGCTGAGTCATGTTTTCTACTTTGAGGGTTACTGGAACTCTGGGAAAGATAAACTTCTAATTGTTTCCAGTAGGTGGAGCTAACTGGGGATGAAAAAAATAGATGAGTTGTGTTTTTGCAAGAGGCTCTGGCTGCAGACACATGGGGAAAGTGGAGTTCCACTCATGTTCTTTTCTCGTCTGCAGCCTCCTGTATGACAACACAACACACTGTATGAGGACACGACACACTGTATGAGGACACGACACACTGTATGAGGACACGACACACTGCTGGGTGCACAGAACTGTTGGCTGATGATAATCTCATGATTCATGAAATGGGTCAAATGCAGATGACAAAGTAAAGCCAACACTGAGCTGGAGGTGCTGCCCCAGACTCCTGCCTCTGTTTAGGTCTGGGACATGTTGCATTGAAAACTCCAATAATAATAAGAGCTGCAAAAGAATCATGCTCATGTTAAAATCATTATTTAATCTGTGAAAATACACATTTCTCAAATGTGTGGGATTTAGCTGTTTAGATTTATATAAACTGCCTTTGGATGTGATTGTACATGCTCTGTCAAACTCATTTTCCTGTAATAGTTTTGTAGTTTTCTTAATGTGTGTCATTACAGGTTTTCACTCTGCAGGACACGACTTTCAACCAGTCAGACGTAACGCCCATTCTGCTCTTCCTCCTCCAGAAGATGAGAAATATATCAGACTGAGTGGCCCAAGTCCACTGTCCATGTCTCCACTGTCCATGTCCAGACTCACAGAGGAGGAGGAGGTCCAGACTGTATCAGACCTGTGGGGCCTCTGGTTGCATCAGGCCTCCCTCCTGCACATTCTGTCTGCTTCTGTTCCTAATGTGTCCTTAAAGTTTAGGTTTAACGTCTACTTTCCTGCAGAAGTGAAACATTGAAATGGTGGTTTCTGTTCATCTTAGCTGAGAAGCACCTAAACAGCTTTACCATGAGTAAATGTGTCCCATGATAAATGTGTCCTTATATGACCTTAACAAGTGTATGAGACAAAACTAGAGTCATAGAAGTTGCTCAGAATAAGTTTTTCTGAATGTTTTTCGGTCTGTACTGACATTTGATTCATGGTGAAATGTGCCAGTTATTTGGTGTCTCTTTTGACAGTAACTAATTACATGTACTATAAGAATGTACTATTGTACTGCAGATAAACTGTGGTATTCCACATGATCATATTTTGCAGTATTTTTTTTCTGTTTCAGCAAAATGGGAATAACTATTTCAGAGTACACTGACATACAGCTGTTTGTACTCACCTATTAATGCAGAGTGTGTTTGTGTGTGTGTGTGTTTGTGTGTGTGTGTGTGTGTGCGTGTGTGTTTGTGTGTGTGGTGTGTGTGTGGGTGTGTGTGTGTAATGGGTTTTTCACATTATGACAAAGTATTTTCACAAGTTCCTTTGATTGTTTAATAAACCATCTTTTCTCAAAGCAGAGATGTTTTTCTTTATAAACTGACTTAAATACATTTCCAGTATAAATGTAATCCCTTATCAATTTAAAAATACTTTATTAATAATTAATAATCTCATCAGTTTTTGAAACTTTAAGGTAATTTTGTCTATTTTAGATGTTTCCCAGAAATATCGCCATTGTGTTTTGCAAAAGTTGAACATAAGTTTTCGTTTTTAGCCATAAGATTTGGATGAGAATTATTAGAAAAACTTTGGTCTGAAATTCCGACAGTTTGTTCACCCGTGCGTCATCTGCGTGGTACGTGTTTTTAGCATTAGCATTAGCAAAGTGTCTCGGTTGCTAGGCGACGGAGCGGCTCCGTGGGATACACCGGTCACATTTCAGCTACGGCGAGCGCTCCAGCCTTCACAGCCCTCGACAGCTGCAGCCCTTCAATTGGGACACGGCTAATATGAATAAAAAATAAAAAATAAAAAATAAAAGTCTATAGGAGATGGTGGAGGTCACGTGTTTCCGGTCTGGAATGGAGCTCCACTTTCCCCATGTGTCTGCAGCCAGACCCCTCTCTGTTTTTGGGGTGTGCCAGGCAGAAGTTGCATTTTAGGTCAATTTGGAGAAATCTAGAAAAAAAAAAAAAAAAAAAAAAAACTGTACGTAGGGTCAAATGTATGTAGGACCTTAAAGTGAAGTTCTGGTATTTTATTGATGATTGGGTAATGAAATTAGATTTTTGGAAGGGCGAGTGACGTCATCGACCAAAAATGAAACTGTTAATATCTTAAGAACCATAATTGCACAAACAAAGTATTTTGCTGCACAAAACAGCACCAAAGATGGACATAGTTTTAGTGTAGGTGTGTGTTTGATGGGGGCCAACTTAATGGAGGTGGTGAAAGTGCGTCATTCCAAGTGTCTGCACAGCACAGAGAGCTTCGTCACGTTCATACAAAAAAACAAGTTTGAGAAACTGAGATTTGACTGAAACCATCTACATTAAAGACACAAACACACACAGACTTACAAAACACACACAGACTTACAAAACACACACAGACTTACAAAACACACACAGACTTACAAAACACACACAGACTTACCAGAGGCAGCTCACACATCCACAGTCTGTCACGACACGGAGCTGCTCCGTCACTGCACCCACGGGAGCTCAGGCCAAAGTGAAAGTAAAACTTGTACAACAGGTCACAGATCAGCTCTGGAGCTGAGCACAAAGAGCACTCACTTTGCTGACAAGTTCAGACAGATCTGTACTCCAAAAGATCCTCTCTGGTGTTTGCTGCTCTTCAGAAGTTTAAACAGAGACGTATGATAGAACCTTATTTTATTAGATTTATATTTAATACACTTGTGTGGTTTCAGTGAGAGCTCCCACATCACATGACCCTATCAGCCCTCTGTTTTTTTGTTGTTTTTATCTGCACTCTGCTCTTACTTGACTTTTTTTCTTTTTTTTTATGAATGTGTAACTTCAGATGTGCAAGACTCAAGTTGGGCAATAACAAAAGTAAATAAGAAACCACTTTAAAACAAACACATAGAAACTTTTCATACTGCAGTGGTTCTCTGAACTCATGTGGAATTAAGCTAGCCTGATTCATCAGCCGGTTTCACTTTGTAGAAACTGTCTGACCTTGCAGTGTTAGAATTCGTTCGCTCGACGGTAGCCACGTACTTTTTATCATTTAACTAATTGCTGTTATTTGGTCGTGATGTATGTAATGCACCGCTAACAGGGTTAACTGGTATATTAAGCTTTTCCCAGATCCCATAGGAAGAAGGACAATAACGTCTTTCCCCTTGATGAAATTCACCAAACATTCTCTTTGTTCCGACTTTAAATCCTCGAACTCAGAAATCATTGACAACACAGAATGTCTGGCTCTCTGCTGATTGGCTGGTGCCCAAACTCACACTTCCAGGGTTCTTGCAAACTGTCAATTATATTTTGATTCCTGACCTAGTCGCTGGAGAGAAATGAAATTGAGTGGAGGCACTAGGTGGCACCAGCCTGACTAGAATTAAGCAAAGATAGAGTGAAAAATGCACAAATAAGATTATTGTCCAAAAGGGGCCGGACTGATGATGTAGAAGTCAGTTTCTAAGAGTGTTATACAGGGAGCCTGGTCATAAAAGGGTTGAGACCTGGTTCACACCTGGTTGAGACCTGGTTAAGGCCTGGTTGAGGCCTGGTTAAGGCCTGGTTGAGACCTGGTTGAGGCCTGGTTGAGATCTGGTTGAGACTTGGTTGAGACCTGGTTCACACCTGGTTGAGACCTGGTTAAGGCCTGGTTGAGACCTGGTTGAGGCCTGGTTGAGATCTGGTTGAGACTTGGTTGAGACCTGGTTCACACCTGGTTGAGACCTGGTTAAGGCCTGGTTAAGGCCTGGTTGAGACCTGGTTGAGACTTGGTTAAGACCTGGTTGAGACTTGGTTGAGACCTGGTTGAGACCTGGTTGAGACCTGGTTGAGACTTGGTTGAGACCTGTACAGTGTTCCTACTTAAGCCCCTTCCCCCGCCTTCCTCTCCTCACACACTGACTTTGTGGCCATACCGGTTTGTCAAAGCCTGATCTCGTCAGATCTCAGAAGCTCAGCAGGGCAGGGCCTGGTTTGTACTTGGATGGAAACACTGGGAAAATCAGGAGCCACAGGGGGCACCAGCTGCAAAACTGTTGTCATGTCCTTAGGCAAGACACTTTACCCACATTGCCTAATATGAATGTGGTGTGTGCGTGAGTGATGGCAGTGGTAGAAGGGACCAGTGGCGCCGTTTGGCATGGCAGACGGGCTTCTGTCAGTCTGCCCCTGGGCAGCTGTAGCTACAATAGTATCTTACCATCACCAGGTGTGGAGAAAAAGAATAATGAATCTATAATGCTCTGTAAAATGTCTTTGTGACATATGTCTGTGAAAAGTGCTGTATAAATAAAGACTTAGTTACTTTCTCTCTTCTGTCTCTGTCTTTAAGGTTAGAGTTGTTTCATTCACACATGTTTAACACACAAACCCTGCATATTTAGGCTGAGTTCTTCTAGTTAATAGAAAACCACCCTGTGATGTCATGTGGCAATACAGGAAGTGCTCCAATGTGTTTTTAAACTCCATCTAAAGACTACATATAAGTTATACTTCAAATATGGTTTATGAAGATTGAAATGAAAGTTTAAGCTGTGTGTCATGAAATCAGAGTGTTTTCTTAGCTTCTGAAAGTGTCTTCATCGTCCATGCATGCTCTGCATGTATGTGGACACCACATTTAAAAAAAATAATTAAGGGAAAATAAATCAGAACACCATCACAAATTTGGGGTATGTTAAAAACAGACAGACAGCCTGTGTGAGAAGGTGAATGTTCAATCTTAAACCTCTGTCTTTGAAAATTGCACTTTCCACAGTCTTTCAAAGATGCCCTCAGATTTTCTGAGGGCAAATTCAAGCCCCCAGAAATCTGTGATAAATCAAAAGCACAAGTGTAAAAGTCCAGATTCTACAAGTACATTTGCCAAATTTTAACCCATGAAAATTTGAAGGACCGACCTTAAATTGTTTTTTTGATAAATCAATCTGAAAGTGGCTCCTTGAACAACTCTGCTCAAAACGGTCGGCAGAGTTGACAAAATATCTTTTTATGACAAAACTATAAAGAATTGGGAGCTAAAATCTGGGTCCTGTTGGAAAGTGTGTGAAACTTTTAGAATTTTTTCAGTCAAATCTGAGATGGTCGGACCCATATGGAAAAAAACTGGAAAAAAATATAAGAATTGACCAGTGTCTTTGTAGTAAATCTTTATATAAGGTTTATATGTGTCATGTGTGGTTTACTCCTGGAAGTCGCTCCTTTTGCATTTTTCTCAAACAACTATATTATGAAAAACTAGTAAAGATAAAGTGAACATTTTGCATGACATTTACAGGTCATGTTCATGATCAACTACATTTTCTGTGTATGTTCCATGTAATGTTTGTATTGTTTAATTATATGTTGCAGAAAAAAACAGTCAGATTCTAAAAGGGGATTTGAACCCAGGTCTCCCATGTGGAAGTCCAGTGATTTACCAATTGAGCGAACCAACTACTGATTATAAAGGGAACAACAGCAGATATTGAGGACAAGTACAAGTACTCTGGTATTTGTAACTGATATGACGTCATGTCAGTTGAGGCATGTGAAAAAAAACAGAAGTGTGTAGCTGCTTTTTGGAATATTACAAGTCAATATAACCTTTGTAATAATTAGGATTTTGCAGAGTAAAAATATTTTTACAGCCTGATGTTTGTTCACTGTGACATCAGTGGAAGATGCTTTTTAAGGTTTTAATGCAATATTTACATTACTGTGTTTACCCCCATGATAACACACACACACACAAACACAGACACACACACAAACACACACTGTGATAATTTTCTTTCTCACTCTCATACACACACAACACAGCAATCAAGTTTAAGGAAACAATCATCATTTCACTTAAATGACCTTTGTCCAACACTTGTGAGGAGATTGTGTGTGGAATTAGTGTCATATACAGGCCTTGCAGGTTACAAAGTTTTATATGTTTGATGCTGCACATATTTGCATATATGCTGCTCATCAGTGTCTGAACTTCTGCCACGATGTTGTGCTTCATGAGCGTCCTCTGTGAGTATAACACCTCCACACCTCTGTGTGTTTAGACTCTACAGCTACAGTAACACACACATGTGCTGAACTGTTTCAGGGCTGGCTGCCACATGCCTGGACACAGCAACAGCGTCCTACGCTTTGTCCACCACCAAAGTGACCACGTGTGACACTCTGGGCTATGTGCATCGCCTCAGCTGTGGTGAGTCTGTCTCAGTACAGTACAAAGTACTGTGTACACTGTGAGTGTGGGACTGGAGTTAGATTACTACATAAAGTACTACTGTGACCTGCCTGTGAAGTATAGTTGAATACTTACAGTTGAATATGTTGTTGACACAGAGCGTGGAGTGATTGCTGTACAGGCTGCACTGTACGGACGCCTGGACAGAGAGACCTGCAGTGAGGGATGGACCAATAACCTGAAAGACATCACCTGCTCCCAAAGCGGCACCAAAGCAGTCCTTCAGAACAGGTTCATCTCGCCTCATGTTTGTGAGACCTGGGTTCATGGCAAAGCTCCACATTCTTATCATTGTTATCCACAGATGTGATGGGAAGACGACCTGTGAGGTAATCACAAATGCTTTCCGCTTCTCTGACCCGTGCTATGGCACCTACAAATATCTGGAGAGCACCTACGCCTGTGTGCTGGAGGTCAGCAGCAGTGTGGTGTGTGAGCACTACAACACCAGACTTCAATGTGGTACAGTAGAACTATGCAGTCCAGTAGAACTAGAACATTGGAATGCTCTACAGTGTTTAACATGTGTTGAACATACTTACTCTCCTCTCACAGGGCAGGGTCAGGTGATACTGTGATATTCGTCCCGAGTATCTTAGGTCTTGGGGCTGTCTTGGCTGATACATCTCTGCAACATCGTGTGGTGGTCAGGGACAGTAGGAAGAAAATGGATGGATGGATGGATGGATACTTAAACATGTGGATGAAACAAAACACAAGTGTAGAACTCTGCAGAGATGGCATGTGTTCTGGGACTGTTGCATGTGTGAATGGGGTCACACTCTGGCATCTCTTGTAGCCGGCAGTTTCCTGGGATCTATGTGTGACTGGTGCTTTAGTGGACATCAGACATGTTCCTCTGACCTCCTCTTTGTTTGTGCAGATCCAGGGTTTTAACGTGTCACGGGGGCAGTTCTCTTACGCCAGTGACTGCGCCGGCTTCTTCTCTCCTGGGATCTGGATGGGTCTGATGACCAGTCTCCTCATGGTCCTGGTGCTCACCTACGGCCTGCACATGATCATGCAGCTGAGGACCATGGACCGCTTCGACGACCCCAAGGGCCCGGCTATATCTGTGCCCCAGACCGAGTGAAGCGCCCGTCATATACAACCCTAACCCCAAAGGCCCCGAAGAACGACTGAAACCCCCAGGAGTGAAAGGCCCTGCTGTCTGTACCCCAAAACGAGTGAGACGCCCCCAACCCAGAACGAATGAAACACCCAGGAGTGAACCATAGAATGTGTGTCCTCGAATGAATGAAACGCCTGACACGTCTAACCCTCACCCCAAAGAAAATAAATGATCTGAATATCTGAATCTGAATAATCTTGTCTTACATAAACACAAAGGAACAGTGTGAAATGATGGAGTTGAAGTGTAGTGAATGTAACAGATTTAAATGACATGAGACAGGTTTTCAGGAGAAGCTGAGCAGGGCTGGCTCTGGTTTGGACTCAGAGACTGCTGGGAAAACAGGCTCTGTCCTTCCTTAGGTTCCACTTCAGTCACGTTGCCAGTATGAATGTGGTGAGTGACGGCTGGTGGTCAGAGGGGCTGATACACAGAGTGACAGTCTCACTTTCATCAGTCTGCCCCAGGGCAGCTGTGGCTACAGTAGTGGCTCATCACCACAGAGTGTGGAGTGAATCAATAATGAAGTCCTGTTACAAAAGTGACACTTGAATCTTTAGACTTCAGCTTTGTTTAGCACAATCTGACCAGAAAGAGTGAACTTATGTGGAGCTACAACAGGAGAGCTGTTTGTGCTGTTCAACAAGTCTCTCTCAACAACAGCACAGGCACAAGGAACCATTAGCCAACAGTTTTTCACTGAGTCACTCTCACTTTTAGTGTAAAATCAAACTCCTAAACAGGACCATGAACACTCAGACTGATCACAGGCTCCTGAGAAAGTGCTCTTTTTTCTTTAAATCCATTTTGTGTTTTCAGAGTAGTGCTTTCAGCTAGCTTCAGAGAATCTGTACAAATGACATCACAACATTCCTTATTTTTAAAAGAAGTGGCAACATTATACGAGTGTTGTTCTTCTGTAGACAGTTGTTTAAATCCAGTACCTGCTGTATCTTTTTTGAATATTTCAAACACTTCGCTGGGAAACGTTGTCAAATTCCACTGCTCTATGAAACGCGAGGCTTAGGTCACATGTTCAAACTGACACATTTTATTGGTTGAGTAAATACATGACTTTGTAAATTTGTCTTAATTCAACATCTAAAATGTGCATTTATTACTTGTATGTGTGTATGCATTTGTTTTAAATGCATTTTTAATACAAGACAAATAAATACAAAACAGAATTTCCACTTGATCCTTTCATACTTGTTTATCCTCCTTGGACTCTCTTGCATGGCTTTATTGATTTCTCGTTGTTATTTGGGCTGATCGAGACTTGATGAGTGCAAGAAACTAAAGAATTATACTTTTATGTGATGTAGTTTCTGAGAAAAATGATGTCCATATTTGATATATAAAACATTCATTTGATGTTTTAATCATTTTTGATTGAACACAATAAAGTCACAATTCAATAATGATTTGCTAAAAATATTTATTAACTGCCTGAACAACCCAAAACATGTTGGACATAAATGTCCACACCTATGTGGATGGCAGGTCCTAGGAGGCTTCAGGAAGGTTTGTGCTCATATTATCTAGTAGTCAGTTTTAGGTATTACACTTAGAGTTGACGAGGGAGTTTGAATCTGAACATTGTCGGTAGCTTATGCACTTTATTTGACACATTCAAATCAGGTTAAGAGTCTCGTGGGCCGATCCAGATCGCCTCAGTACAGACTTCCGCAGTCTGGCTATTGGAGACCCAGACTCAAACAGATGCATCTGTAAAATAAAGAAAATATAGTTTTTTTGTGACAGTTCCAACAGTTACATTTTTTTCAATAGTTTTAGCACATTTTGGTTTAGTTTGATCATTTGATTCAAATGATTATTTAAACAGGGCCACAGGTGGTCAGAACATTTCTCTTGAGTTCACACAGTTCTCAGGTTCTTTCTCAGAACACTGGACACGGCTCTCATTCACAAACACATGAGCAGTGAATTTAACTTGTTTTTTCAACACAAAAGGCCTGTTCTCATGTGGTACAGGATGTCTGCCCAAACTCTGCCACGTTCAATATAGAAACATGACAGCAAAAAGCAAATAGTTTGTAAAAAAAAAATGAAGTTGCAGTGCACTGTGAGCAATTTCAATGGTTTCAAGGTGGCCAAGGATCCACAGGCGCATCTTTGGTAAATGAGCCAAACAGAGTTATCAAGTGCGGAGGAGGTGAAGGCTTTGGGGGAACTGGAACACCACTCTGCAGAGCTCTGATGACCTGAATCTGTCTGAAGTGGTTCAGAGGCTGAGGATCCTGGCAACTGGGAATCACCCTGTGTCTTGTTTCCAGACCACATACATTACATAGGTTACAAATGTTGTTATATTTGCTAATGTGACATCTACAAATATCAGTATTTGTCGATTTGTAGTTTGGACTCAACCAGGTCCAAACCAGGGCCAGACAAGGACTTTAATCAGTGACCAAAGCAGAACTAATTCAAGACTAAACCAGGTCTATGAGTGATTTATGGAACAAAATAATACTCTAAAGATACAAACACTCACTCTGGCAGATGTACTTGACATCCAGGTACTTGTAGGTCCCCACACAGGGGTCTCCGAACACAGAGTTACTGGCTATGACCGAACAGCTGCTGTGGCCATTACACCTGGACGATCAAATGGGAGGTACAGGTTATAAGCATTAAAGGTAAAGGTTTAGGTGTGTAATATGTAACTTTTTGGATGAGAAGTCCACCATCTGCACCTCTCTGTGGAGATATTCCTCTTTTGCCTAGAATGTTCCACAGTCTGGCATCTTTCATTTATTCAGTTGCTCAGAAATACCTTGAAAAACCTGCATTCTGACTGAACTACATATACTAACATGTCCAAGCAGATGGCAACACCTCCCTCTGAAAAGTTACATAGTGCCTCTTTAACTTCAGACAGAGAACTTATCGTAAGACTGTTCTTTACATTTGAGCCACTTTGCTGATGACGACGGAGAGTTTGCACTGGATATTTTGGAGCTGAGACTCAGGACGTCCTTCAGAGCAGGTGGAGTGGTCAGTGCGACCGTAGTACGCCGAAAGCACATGGATCACCTGACCCTGCCCTGTGAGAGGAGAGAGCATCACAAGTACATCACAACTGTAAGTATGTTCAACAAATCACACACACATGTTAAAGTTAGACCACAGACCTTATCTGTGTTCTAGTCAAATGAGAAGTCTAACCTGTCATATTTAAACATATGTATAGAGCATTCTAGTGCATAAGGTTGTACTGTACCACAGCGGAGGTGGGCGGTGGAGTGCTCACACACCACACTGACTGCCGGACTGAGGACCTGGAAACAGTGGGATGAGATCAGAGAAGCGCAAAGCATTTGTGTTACCCCACAAAACAAAAATCAGGGACTGAACTAGCGACCAAACCAGAACTAAATAGATCATAAACCAGGACTGAACTAGGAACAAAAGCAGACCCAAACCAGGACTAAACCAGGACTGAACCAGGGACTAAACCACAGCCAAATTAAGACGTTCCACTAATGTTGGAAAATGTCAACTTATAGTTTTAAGACCAAGATTAAACCAGGTCCAAGCCAGGTCCAGGCAAGGACTTTAATCAGTGACCAAAGCAGAAATAATTCAAGACTAACCCAGGACTAAACCAGGTGAGTGCTTTACAGAACCAAATAATATTATAAACTAAATGGTTGTTCTGTCGGTGCATTAGACTCAAACACTCACTCTGGCAGATGTACTTGACATCCAGGTACTTGTAGGTCCCCACACAGGGGTCTCCAAACACAGAGTTACTGGCTCCGACCGAACAGCTGGATTTGTCATTGCACCTGGAGAATCAAGGTAAGGAGGTAGATTTGAAAGTTGGTGGTTTGAATCTTGCTCTTGACAAACATTACTGATTGAGTGGTCAGATCCACTGACACACAGGTTGTCAGTGTGATTCCAGCTCCCACAGCTGTTGTTGTGTCCTTGGGCAAGACACTTAACCCACCTTGCCCCTAATGTCTCAGTACACTGGTGTATGAGTGTGTGTGAAAGGGTGAGTGGTTCACTGATGTAAAGCACTTTGTGCTGTACAAAAATGTGACCATTCACCAGTGGGACTAATGTTCCACAGTATGGCATTAAACATTGAAAAACCTGCATTCTGACTGTGAGGTGTGCCTCTCCACAGAGCTGACCTGTTACTTGGTATGGTGACGTGGTGTCACCAGATCGATATATAAGTTTTAATACCATACTGTGGAACATTCCTGGCGAAACAATAACTTTACTATACTTCACTTTACAATAACTACAAACAGAAGGCAGCACCTCCCTCTGAAAGTCTGTGTCTGTTTAACTTCACATTGTGCCTCTTTAACTTCAGATAGAAAACTTATCATAAAGACTTTTTTTACATTTGAGCCACGTTGCTGATGACGGAGAGTTTGCACTGGATATTTTGGAGCTGAGACTGAGGACGTCCTTCAGAGCAGGTGGAGTGGTCAGTGCGACCGTAGTACGCCGAAAGCACATGGATCACCTGACCCTGCCCTGTGAGAGGAAAGAGCATCACTACTACATCACAACTGTAAGTATGTTCAATAAACCACACACATGTTAAACACTGTAGAGCAGGGGTGCTCAATACGTCGATCGCGATCTACCAGTCGATCTCCAAGGTCGTGTGGGTAGATCGCCGTGTCTCGTCTTGGACTTGCGTTTGGACTCGGTCTTGTCTCTCACTCGAGGTCTGACACTCAACAAGTGTGATCATATTTCATTACGGCCGCTGCTGTTGGTAATAAACTTGTAGCGGGTGCAGGAGCGTGTGGGGCGTCTCAGTGCAGCCTGTGCGCTCATTTGAAACCCGCGGAGACTCTACGGCACATCACAAAAACACACACGCTCCCTATGCACGGCTCGTCTGCGACAGCGTGTGCCCTCGTGTACCAGTGTGCATCACAGGGCAGGTTCAACTTCCTAAACATCCTACCTGTCCATCTGCCTCACGTCAGCACGCCGCCCCTCGCCTTTTCACGCTCTCGCTCCTTCCTGCGTACAGCGAACACAAGCCCCTCCCACAGTGCGGCTGATTAGAAGAGCAAGACCAAACGTGAAGCAAAAACCAGTCTAAATTTGTGTTCCAGTGTTGGCACAAAGCAGGTCTACAGCATAGAGCGGATCTACAGAACAGACCTACTGCCACATTTGGCTGAAGTTTGTCTAACAAAAGTGCACAAATGCATCTGTGTTTGTCACGATGTGCGTTTGGTTTGGTAAACGTGCAGAGGCTGGTAAATATCACTGCAAAACCAGAAAAGAATGAAACTCCAGTTTGGAACTTTAAAAAACAGGTTTAAAAATCTTCCTTCACTTTTTTCACAGTTTTGTGTAAAGTGCCAGAGGAAGTTCTCTTAAAGAAGAGGTTCTCAAACTGTGGGGGAGGGTCCAAAAAAAGGGGCACAGAGTGTTTCAGTGCAGTTTGCTTGGCTTTGTATTAGGTAGATCTTTATGACTTGGTCATTTTGTAAGTAGCTCACATGCTGAAAAAGTGTGAGCACCCCTGCTGTAGAGCATTCCAATGTTCTAGTTCTACTGGACTGCATAGTTCTACTGTACCACATTGAAGTCTGGTGTTGTAGTGCTCACACACCACACTGCTGCTGACCTCCAGCACACAGGCGTAGGTGCTCTCCAGATATTTGTAGGTGCCATAGCACGGGTCAGAGAAGCGGAAAGCATTTGTGATTACCTCACAGGTCGTCTTCCCATCACATCTGTGGATAACAATGATAAGAATGTGGAGCTTTGCCATGAACCCAGGTCTCACAAACATGAGGCGAGATGAACCTGTTCTGAAGGACTGCTTTGGTGCCGCTTTGGGAGCAGGTGATGTCTTTCAGGTTATTGGTCCATCCCTCACTGCAGGTCTCTCTGTCCAGGCGTCCGTACAGTGCAGCCTGTACAGCAATCACTCCACGCTCGCTCTGTGTCAACAACATATTCAACTGTAAGTATTCAACTATACTTCACAGGCAGGTCACAGTAGTACTTTATGTAGTAATCTAACTCCAGTCCCACACTCACAGTGTACACAGTACTTTGTACTGTACTGAGACAGACTCACCACAGCTGAGGCGATGCACATAGCCCAGAGTGTCACACGTGGTCACTTTGGTGGTGGACAAAGCGTAGGACGCTGTTGCTGTGTCCAGGCATGTGGCAGCCAGCCCTGAAACAGTTCAGCACATGTGTGTGTTACTGTAGCTGTAGAGTCTAAACACACAGAGGTGTGGAGGTGTTATACTCACAGAGGACGCTCATGAAGCACAACATCGTGGCAGAAGTTCAGACACTGATGAGCAACAGCATCACTCTGCTCTTTTATACACACACTTACACACACACACACACACCCACGCACACACACGCACGCACACACACACCCACGCACACACACACACAGAAGAGAGGACAGTTTGATGAGCAGGAAGTGAACATGGACACTTTGGCACAAGGACTCAGATGTCATGTGATAATGTTGCTGACTCATAGATATGTGTTCTGGACATGTACAAGATATTACAACTATCTAATCACTTGACTAAACAGGACAGTGTCCTGTACTCCTTGCACTGGCTCCCTGTCCAGTTCAGAATTCATTTTAAAATTTTGATGTTTGTTTTTAACTCTTTCCCCCATGAAGACGACATTTGACGACCCCCCCTGAACCCTTAATGACGACTTTTGACACCTCCGCCATTTCACTAAAGACGAGATTTGACGACCTTTAGAAATGGCTCGGTTTTTCACATTTAAACAGAGACTGTGATCGGTGGGGGCCACTACAACCCACACTAGACTGACCAATAGGATTCAAGGATATGTTTTCGCCGATTTTTTCCGAAGTTAATCGAAATAGTGACGGTATATAGTGATAGTAGCTTCCGGAAAACACAACACGAAACACGTGCAATGGAAAGATCGCGCTGCGGCGCACAGTTTTAGAAATAATGAGGAGCGGACGTATTTTATGGATAAGTTTAGAGAAAGTGACTTTTATAGATTTCAAAGTGATGATGTTGAAGTTGATTATAAAGTGGAAAACAGCGATAGCGACGGACTTTCGGGGAGAAGGTGAGATGCCGCTGATGCGTCTGTGTGGAGTCCTGCGATGTCCAAACAAACTATCTGAGCTTTATACTCGATTATGAACCAAAATTGCTGAAATCTGGATGTTGCCCAGGCCAGTCCTTAAAATATTTCAGTCTTTTTTTCCAAGATGCGATGTATAACAGAATCGCTACAGAAAAAACGTTTATGCGGAGCTCTGCGCACGAGAAAATAGCCAAGATGACAAATACTGGACACACACTGACAGGGAAGAGTTTTATTATTATATTATTATATTATAATAAGCTAAATTAGTTGAATAAGTTAAATGAGTTGAATAAATTAAATGGAAAAAAAATTTATTGGGTGCACACAGGTGTACAACAGGTAAAAACAGGTGTATACTTGGCTATACTGTACCTGGTGATATGAAATCTGTTTAAATACTTTGACAAAGTATATTTTTTATTTTTTTATGAATATAGTACTCAGAACATGCAGATATCAGATGCTGAATGTAGTTTTTTGTTTTCGAGCTTGCACCTGACCAGGTAAACCCTCATTTTCAGTGAGCTGTTATACACCTATAAATGAGTTGAATCACATTTAAACATCCATAAATGAATAGTTCAGAGTCTAAGGTTTCCAGAGATACAAATATGTCTGTGTTACAATTAAGTTCATGAGTGTAAAAATCATTTATAATCACTCGTGGAAGTCTGTTTTCTTTTATGCAGTTATGCTCTATGTTTAGCCCTGTAACATATGTATGGGTTGTTCCTAGTAGACGTCCAGGGGGGAAAGAGTACTAGTTGAAAATAAATGTGAGCTTAGCTCCGTGACGCACGGACCTCTGTGCTGGTCTTTTCACCTGTAGACTGTTGGGTGACCTCCGGCACCTCCGGCCCTGTCCCGACACTCAGTCCTGGTTTAGTCCTGGTTCCGTCCTGGACCCAGGTTACTACAGGACAGTATTGAAGATACGTATCAGTGTTTCCCACAACACTTTATAGTTAAGGCGGCCTTGACAACAAGTGGACCCCGTCTTCTGAACCACATGAACCCTCACAAAACTACAGTCAGAATCTCTGCGCTCCCCCCACTCCTCACTTCTTTTTTGTTGGAAAACATCTTTGAAGGGTATTTATTCATGATTTATTTCTTTATCATTGTCATTTCGTCTGACACTTTCCACGGTTTAATCATTTTGTGCCAGTTAATGTTACAAAGCATTTCTTCTGTGAATGTTTCTCACATGAATCCATGACATTTGAGTTTCACACTATTCCACCTGTAAACATGACGTTTCTCTCTGTTCCTTCAGTGAAATCTCCAATAATCAACTCAGACTGGACAAGATAAGTGAGGAACAAGGCAGTGTATCTCTGACCTTGATGTTTGGCACAGATTGCCTGTCTGCCTGTGCTCTTTTGTTAATGTGATAGTATCGGGTTTATGAGTCACAAACCCGCCTATAAAAGGGGCGCTATGCGCTGCGCTCGCCCCTCCCTCCTGAACTCCGACCGCTGACGTCACACGCTGGCGGAGCCAAGCTGTCATAGCCGCAAGACGCGAGGCCCCGAGTGGACCACGTTTAGACGCACTAAGTTTACTGTTGCAAGGTGTTCTGCGCAGTAATTGCGGAGAGAGTGCGGGCATCGTGGGGCGTTTGTGGCTCGGCGCTGTGCGGTCCTCTGCGTGTTTGGGTGGCGTGCCGCGGTGAATTCTACACGGCTCCTGCTGGCGGGAAGCCTTCCCTTTTCTCTTTTTCTTTCTCCGTGTACCTGGTCTGTTCGGTGGTCGTGGCCCTTGGTGAAAGGACTCGCTCTCTGAAGTCTTCGCCTTGCGGGAAGCGCTACTGCGAGGCGCGGTGTTGACTGTGAAAATGGTCCTAAGGTCCCAAGCAACGAGGCCATGCGACCCAATGGACAATGAACGCACAGGACTGGCCGAGGATGTGTGTGATTAACGCTTTGCAAAAATGGATAATAAATTCAATGTAAAGCATATTCAAGTCTCATGCCATATTCAGTCAACGAACCTGTGTGTCTATAGTGGGTGGGGAAAAACACTGTCCTGGTATTACCAGGTGGCGTTGTTGGCAACTTTACTACCTTGAAGTGCACTTACAAATATGCTGCTCTGCTACATTAACTTCATTGTTCTTATTCTGCAATGATCATTCCTGTTCTGTTTGTACATTAACATCAGTCTGTGACAGTGGTTAAAATCTGTTTGTTACTTTACTGTGGGTGATATAATGATATTAGCATTGTCTTTTATGGTATTGTTTTATTGTCTTGCTCAGTTTCAAATATCAAAACACAACTCCAGGTATGATTGTGATAGGAAACAACATTAGAACATAGATCAGAAAATAGTGTCATTATTAAACAAGATCTTCTTGTGAACGCTCTTTGTTTTCTGTTGAAATTCATTCATCTGTAAAACAAGAGAAAGACACATTTAAGAGACTGGACACAGAAGAAAAAAAACAGAAAGATCCATTCTGACACACAGGGACAGGAGGACGGGAGGGCATCTGACACACAGGATGGATCATGTAACTTACACTGGCAGATGTAGGCCACCTCCAGATACTTGTAGGTTCCCACACATGGATCTCCAAACTCTGAGTTACTGGCTCTGACCACACAGCTGCTTTTACCATTGCAGCTGTAAAAGAAACATTAGAAGGTCCAATAATGATGGTAAATAATTAGTATTTAAGGCCCACTGCTCGGAACTTGCAGTTATTAAAACAAATCAGACTCAGGTCATGCACGTGAGAGTCAAAATTGTCACAAAGGCTTTTTTCCCCCAAATCTAAACCCAGTGTAAATGTAACGTGCTGCTGTGATGATGAAACATCACACTGATGTGACAACTGTCAGCTCTGTTTGGAACAGAAAGTCAAAGGACAGAGTCATGAAAAATCTGAGTGACAGCTCCAGTATATGTGACTGATGTTACTCAGTCGCTCAAACAGCCCTGTTTTTTAATGCATTTAATTAAAAAATGCACTGAAAATGCATTAGAATAGTTGGGACACTGTGTTTGTGGTGGCTGGTAATAATAAAATAGTGAAACGAGTGTGTAATTAAGGAAAGCTGTCCTGCACTCGGCCCATTCCTGACGAACATGAGTCAGTATAGTCACATTTTCTTTGTGTTTTGGTCGATTTTAAGCAGCTTTTTTGAATTTTACTAGCCTGATTCATCAGCCGATTTCACTTCCTGGAAACCGTCTGACCTCGCAGTGTTTTTTTTATTTAACCAATCGCTGCTATTTGGTCGTGACATATGTAATGCGCTGCTAACGGGGTTAACTGGTATATTAAGGTTTTCTCAAATCCTGTAGGAAAAAGGACAATAACGTCTTTCCCCTTGATAAAATTCACCAAACATTCTCTTTGTTTCGGCTTTAAATCCTCGATCTTGGGAATCGTTGCCAACACAGAATGTCTTTCTTCGTCTACATCCATCTCGACGCTTTGTTTACTGTTGTGCTGTTCCACAAAAGGGACACAGTCATGGCTCCACAGCTCACAGCTGATTGGCCGGTGTGTGATCTACAACTTCCGGGATTTTTACAAACCGTCTAGTGTATTTTGATTCCTGACCTAGTCTCTGGAGAGAAATAAAATTGAGCAGAGGCACTAGGTGGCGCCAGCCTGACTAGTATTTTACCAAAACAAATGACCGTGTATGTCTCTCTTTACTGTTGGCAGGGATCAGATTGGTCCAAAACAGGGACACTTGGGACATTTCTCTTTGTATAAAACTGGGACAAATCACTGGTTTTATATAAATCTGTTGGGACAGGGGACACAGAGCTCACCCGACACTAGAACCACAGTTCCATCAGGTGCTAATGGTTAAAATGCAGGCCTTCTATTTCAAACACGAGAAGGTTTTGTTCCTATGTTGTTGTTAAGTGATGATGTGACAATTTACCTCAAAAGTGTTTAACTGCAAACTGAATCAAATTTGTGATACACCCGTGTTTGCTTTAAACCACTGCAGTCTCTTTTTGACACTGAAATGAATCGTCTAAAAAAAAAAAAAAAGTCACACTTAACATTCCCATTGAAATTAGATCCCTGGGCAACTGTGTCCTTTGGCAAGACACTTGAGCCTCTCTGGTGGTGCCTATGTGGTCTACAGTTAAAATCTAAAGGGAAGTGTAAATGTGAGTTACCTTTGTGCCACCTTGGCGGTGGGGTTGTAGCAGTCGGTGTTTTGGATCTGAGACTGGGGGCGTTTATAGGCACACGTCACAGAGTCATGCCGTCCATAGTGTGCTCCATACACAGAGATCACCTGCCCATCGTCTGAACACACACACACACACACACACACACACACACACACACACACACACACACAAACACTTAGGCCCGGTCTGTGCTGGTTTAGCCCTGGTTTAGTTTTTGTCTAGTTCTGGTTTAGTCCTGGTCTAGTCCTGGTCTAGTTCTGGTTTAGTCCTGGTTTAGTTCTGGTTTAGTCCTGTTTTAGTCCTGGTTTAGTCCGTACCACAGTAGAGGTAAGCCAGGGAGTGTTCACAGGCCACAACTTGATCTGTCAGAGCAAAAAGAGCAGAGATAAGGGCAAGTTTAAAGTATAATAATAATAATAACAATAATAATAATAATACATGTGTAAATGTACAACGTAGTGGTCAGAGAAATGACTCAAGTAAGAATAAAATGTATATGGGAAAAGTACTACTCAAGTAAGAGGAAGTTAAAAAGTAACTGGAGACGTAACATCTAATTTATCATTTGAATTTTATCTCATTTGAAGGACAGAACAGTAAATAAAGAATTTTCTAAGGACAGACACAAAAATGAAACAAACTAAATCACATCTGAAGGAACTGCAAGAAACACAAATGTTCATTTCATATTGTCACATAAAACTTTTGTCATTTTTGACTTACACACAGTAAGAAGAGGAAGCACAACAACTACTCAAGTAACAGTACTGTTACTTCAATAAAAATATATATACTATAATTAAAGGAACAAACTAAAAACATCAGATCTCAATGTGAAAAAAAAAGTGTATATCTATACAAATCTGGACAGGGCAATGTCTTAGAAACAAAAGGATGCTCCTCTTTTAATGGAAATGAACAACAGGGGCACTAGAGCAGCACCAATGAGACCAACCCTTAGACAGGACGAGTTTTGCATGTGGAGTTCATTTCAAGTTTCTCCCGCTTGGTGTTTTGGGGTAGTTTTCCACTAGTGCTGCTTTTGCATCATCACTGGGAGGATGAGGCCGTTCCTTAACCCTACAGAAGCTGCACACACTGTCCATCTTCTCCAGGATGCACATCGGGACGTGTTGTTACAAGGAGATTTAATGTGTCTCCAGCACAATCTCCAGAACATGGAGGAGATTTCAGGAGACAGACAGTTCCTGTAGGAGAACAGGGCTGTAGAAGGTTCTCAACCATCAGCAGGACACATATCTGCTCCTCTGAGCAGGAGGAACAGGCTGAGCTCTTCCCGTGTTTGACCTCCAGCAGGACACTGGTGTGAATGTCTCTGCCCAAACATTGACAAACACACTTCATGAGGGTGATTTTAGGGGTCCACGACCTGTAGTGGGAGCTGTGCTCACCACCAGCACCGTGGAGATCCACCGAGAACGCTCCGCTGCCTGCACCATGGTTCCCGTGAATGATTTGGTGGTGGGTGAGTGATGGTTGGTGGAGGCAGATACATGGAGGGATGCACAGATCTCTACCAGCTACAGAACGGCATTAGGTATCGGGATGAAATCCTTGAACTCATTGTCAGACTCTAGGCTGGTGCAGTAGGTCCTGGGTTCCTCTTGATCATAAACCGTATATATGAGTGGACATGGCTAACGCGCTAGCCGCCGCATGCTAAATAGGAAGTCCACATGAGGCTCTTCTGGCTCCTTCTGACTCTGGCTCTAATTGACTTACATTAGGATCTTGTGGTTCCTCTCTCTGTACCTGCTGCAGTGAACCTCGTCATTCTGGTCTTAAAATGTTCATATTAACTCACTCTACATGAGCCTGATTTTTTTTTTCACTATTTTGTCTGTCAAAAAAATCCTCTTCATAACACAGAATCTGGCTCCAGATTTGCTCCTGTAACCGTGAGCATCACGAGCCTCATTTAAGCAGCGCTGAACGCTGTGGGTGACGTCACACTCGTTTAGTCCACTTCTTTTATACAGTCTATACTCCTGACGCAAAACTCCTGGCCTCGTGTGGCAAGAGTCTGCACGCAGAACCTGGAGGAAGAATGGATTGACACAACTGAATGGCCCTCACGTTCACCTGACGTAAACCTGATAGAACACCTCTGGGACATTATGTTTGGGTCCAGACGTCACCAGGTTTCTCGTCAGACTCTACAGGAGCTCAGTGATGCTCACACAGATCTGGGAGGACGTCCCACAAGACGTCATCTTTTGTCTCTTTAGGAGCCACAACGTTGTCAAACATGCAGGCGAGCACATGGGGGCCACACAAGATACTGAGAAGCATTTTGAGTTTAGAAATTTAATTCTGGCAAAATGGACTAACCTGCCACTTCATTATTTCACTTTGATTTTCAGGGTTTCATTAAAAGAGGAGCATCTTTTTGTTCCTGAGACATTTCCCTGTCCATATTTGGATGGATATCCAGCTTTTTTTTTTTTTTTTTTTTTTCACATTGAGAGCTGATGTGTTTTCAAAGTGTTCCTTTAATTTCTTTGAGCAGTGTATAAGCAGGACTAAAAGTATACTGCTAGAAAAGCACAATTTCTTTAAAAAGTTACTCAAATAAATGTAACTGTGTACTACTGCCCAGCTCAGTTTATAAATACAAATGAAGTAAAACTCACTTGCTGGGAAGCAGGTGTAGTTTGTCTCCAGGTATTTGTAAGTCCCCACACACGGGTCAGACGAGCGGAAGAAATCTGTGTTGAGTTCACACTGACTCTTCCCATCACACCTGAAGAGGAACCAGTGTGAGAACATCTCCTAACACTTCTTATTGTCAGGGCTGCATTCATTCTTTCATCAACTCAAACTGACCTGTTCAAAACAATCATAATCAGACTTTTTAAGTCCTGATTTTAACATTGGTCTACTCCAGGTTCAGTCCTGGCTTAGTTACTGATGTAGTCTTGGTTTAGTCCTGGTTCAGTCTTAGTTTAGTCTTAGTTCAGTCCTGGTTTAGTCCTTGGTGTAGTCTTGGTTTAGTCTTGGTTTAGTCCTGGTTTAGTCCTGGTTAGTGCTGATTGGCAGGTGTTTAGAGAGGCAGCAACTAGGAGGAATTTAGAATTTGCTGGTATAATGAGAGCAAAAAAGAACCATGCTCTAAAGATTCAGGGTCATGTCTCCACCAATGACCCTCGACAAATGTGGGCAGGCATCAGAGAAATAACGGACTATAAAAAGAAGGAGGCAGAGTGCCCACGGGACCCTCCTCTCCCTGATGCCCTCAACAACTGCACAGTTTGAAGCTCTAAACATATTTTCTCCTTCCAGGTTCACCATAACATCTAGTGACCCCACTCTCATTGCAACAACATTGGGTGTGAGGAGAGAAACCTGCAGCAGGTGAACCTCGTTGAAGCTGCAGGTCCAGATAAGGTGCCAGGTGAGCTCTCAAAATGTGTGCCCATGAACTCTCTGAGGTACTTACTGACATTTTCAGCACCTCCTTAAGCCAGCAGGTGGTGCCAAAGTGCTTCAAGACAACTCCTATTATACCTGTCCCAAAGTGTAGCACAGTGTCAACCTCGAATGATGACCGTCCTGTGGCTCTAATGTCCATGAAATGTTTCAAAAGGCTGGTTATGGCAGAAATAAACGTCGCTGTGGACATGCTTCAGTTATGCTTATCATAAAAATCACTCCACCGCAGATGCCATATCTGGACTGGTTCACATAGCTCTAACTCATCTGGGAAAAAAGGATTCTTATGTTAGGCTCCTTTTTTTGGATTTTAGTTCTGCATTTACTACCATAAACCCACAGACATTTGCCAACAAACTCATTCTCCTTGTTTCAAGCAGGACAATTTACAACTGCATTTCCTCAACAACAGGTCATAAACTGTAAAGATCCACAACATCATCATCTTCTCCTCTGTACATCAGTGTTTCAAATACCTGGGAGTCCAAATCATGAACAATCTCACCTGGTCTAACAACACCAGTTGCATAGTAAAGAAAGATCAATACAAGATCAATGCATCAACACCTCTACTTTCTTAGGCACCTCAAAAAAGCAGGTCTGGGCTCCTCTGTCCTGAAGACCTTTTACAGGAGTGTGATGGAGAATCTCCTCACCTCCAACATGACTGTGTGGTTCAGCAGCAGCACCAGGGCAGAGAGGAAAACTCTGCAGAGGAGGAAGAGCTGCTGAGCACATCTGCAGCTGTGTCTGCTCTGTACTGACGACGTTTACATCAGCAGGTGCAGGACAAAAGCTACAGCATCATGGAAGACTCCACCCATCCAGCACATGGACTTTTACAGCTCTCCCAGCAGGCAGAAGACTGCACCACCTACAGGTCAGGACCACCAGACTACGGAACAGTTTTTACCTTGATGCCATCAGGCAGATCCATTCTGTCATGTAACCCTGACATTAATGCACCTCACAGAATAGTACTGACTGGGAACGACTCTAGAAAATGAGGGCAAGTGGGGCTGTTTTTAAAGAATGTATTTGACATATTTTTAACAATTTATTCCTATTATTACTTGTGTTTCGTTTCTGTGTATTTTTTTTTATACTGGAATGACAAATACATTCTGATTCAGATTCTGATTTTGATTCTGGTGTAGTCTTGGTTTAGTTCTGGTTCAGTCCTGGTTGAGTCTTGGCATAGTTTTGGTTTAGTCTCTGGTGTAGTCTTGGTTTAGTTCTGGTTCAGTTTTGCTTTAGTCCTGGTTTAGTCCTGGTTTATTACCTGGTCTGGATGCGCTCCTTTACACCAGACAGGGAGCAGTGGGTGTTGGTGAGCTGCTCCGCGGGTCTCCCTTCACTGCAGATGAGTTTGTCAACTCGACCGTACAGAGCTGACTGCACCACCACCACCCCCAGATCTGAAACCACAACACACAACTGCTCAGAGGAGGACTGCCAAACACTAAATTCCAATACTAAAGAACAGACTCGATACTCAGTACTGATTCTGATACCAATGATAATAAAAACACTCTTTATTTAGACAATATACTGTGATTATCAACATTATTGGTAGTACTTTCTTCTCTGTTCCCATGTGGCCTTATATCTGTGTAATCCTTCAGTGGTCCAGGTAAGTTCCATAGTGGTCAAGGTCTAAATTAGGTCTAAATTAGGTCTAAACCAGGTCTAAACCAGGTCTAAACCAGGTCCATGGGTGTATACTAGTCTATGTGCTCTTATACTTGTTCTCATTTCTGTCCTGGGACTTTTTTAGTATCGATACCTGCTCAAATGATTATCTACTTTCAATACTATTTTTTTGTATTGATTAGTATCTGATTTTTGATACTTTTGACCACCCACCCATGGCCCCGCCCAGTTTTTCAGCTCTATTTAAAATGTGCTTGTGGGCGGAGTTTATGTCTTTAATTTGAAACATGATAAATCTCTTGTTTTGTCCTTACCACAGCTCAGGCGATGGACGTTCTGAGAGTCGTCACATGTCACCGCCCTCTCTGTGGAAACTGAAGCACAGCGACAACACAGGGAAACCATAAAATAACAGAGAAGACCCAACCCTACCCCTTACAGATCATCATATGTTTTATACACATCTGTAGACTGTATAATAGAAGTAGAGTTTGGTTGCAACCAAATGAAGCTCATTCAGGCTAGCAGTTATAGTGACAAATCTTCAACCAGGGACCATATTTAAAAAACCGAGCATGAAACCAAAGATCCAATCAGGAGCAAGGCTGTTGAAGGTAACGCCCCTCCCGCTCATACTGCTGGTTTGGCATTGGGCGGGTACTTAGCAACAAGGCTGTCAATCAACCTGTCGCTGACGCCAGTGGGAGCGAACTCAGGGAAAAGCAGATCAGTCTGTTATTTAATGTTCACATTTTTATTTAGATCATGTAAAGGAGGAGGAGGAGCTACAGTCTATGGTCTAGAGTCTATGGTCTAGAACAGGGGTGTCCAAACTTTTTTCATTAAGGGCCACATATCTAAACACAAACGAAGCAGAGGACTGATCAAGGGCCGTAGACTGGTGTTCAATACAGTGAATAATTGAAAAATGTGCATTTTTAACACTATAGAATGAATAAAGATTGAGGGCTCATTCTAAGATTCTTAAAAGCACACACTCAGTATTAAATATTTGCTTTATCAAGGTAGATTTTCAAAAACTTGCAGTAAAAAGTTAATTTTTAATTAATGTAAGGTAATTTGGGCCAGTTCACCTGGAAGCCTGTGGGCCAAGAAAAATTTGTCTGAGGGTCACATTTGGCCCATGGGCCATAATTTGGACATGCCTGGTCTAGAGTCTATGGTCCACAGTCTGTGGTCTAGAGTCTATGGTCTAGATCTATGTCTAGAGTCTATGGTCTAGAGTCTATGGTCTAGATCTATGGTCTAGATCTATGGTCTAGATCTATGGTCTAGAGTCTATGGTCTAGAGTCTATGGTCTAGATCTATGGTCTAGAGTCTATGGTCTAGAGTCTATGTCTAGAGTCTATGGTCTAGAGTCTATGGTCTAGATCTATGTCTATGTCTAGATCTATGTCTAGAGTCTATGGTCTAGAGTCTATGGTCTAGAGTCTATGGTCTAGATCTATGGTCTAGAGTCTATGGTCTAGAGTCTATGGTCTAGAGTCTATGGTCTAGATCTATGGTCTAGATCTATGGTCTAGATCTATGTTGTAGAGTCTATGGTGAGATGTGATGTGTTCCACAGATACATGTGTCTGTACTGACCTGCTCTCAGGAGCACACAGGCCACTGCCAACACTGTGGAGCAGAAACAGTACTCAAATATCAACATGTATTTAAGTGAACTGTATGTTTAAACAAGGTACTACAGCTGACAACTCACAACTGAACCTGTGTTAACTGTGCCTTATGTTTGGGACAATAAGTCTTGTCCTAATGAGTCTAGAGGTGTACAGAGGCAGGGCACGTTTATTCACCATCAGTGACCGTGTGACTGAACACTGAAACTGTCTGTACTGTAGTAGTAGTAGTAGTAGTAGTAGTAGTAGTAGTAGTGCAGAGGCTGCACTAGCCCTGATTGCTGACGGCTGCAGGTGCTGGGGTTGAGGTCGTGACTATTCAGATCAGAGGCATTTAAAAAGGTCCTATATTATGCTAAAAGGGCTTTTAATGAGATTTAAGTCATGTTATAATGCTGTTACCTCGTCAAAAACAGATCTGGAGTTGTGTTTTGTTTCATTCACACATGTTTGACTATTCCTGGTTTATTAGTCTGTCTACATTTCCAAAGCTCCAAATGCTCTGTTAGTTAGAGATAGTTTTCAACTTATCATCTCCTTTCACTTTTGTTCAGTAGAAACTGGCCCATACTACACATTTTTCTAACTATTTTTCCACCTTGTGATGTCATGTGGTAATACAGGAAATGTTCCATTATGTTTTTAAACTCTGTACATCTTCACTAGAATCATTTGGATCCTTTCTGCCCTGGAATTATCCACCTCTACTGAACCAAAGGTAAAAGGAGCTGTTCACTTGTAACAGGTAACATGATAACATGGATTAAAGCTCACAAGAGTCCAGCGTAATATAAAATCATTACATTTTCTTTCATTCTAATACATTACCACTCCCTTTTCCTTGGCCAGAGTTATCACATCAGCCTTTCTGTGATATAAATAGCAAGATAAAAAAAACACTATACTAGTTCATTTAATGTTACATTTTTAGAATAGAATAGAACTGAAATGATTTAATTTTGCTTCCAAAATTGTAACTATTATAATATCTGAGTTCTTATAATAATCTTGATGAATGGGTTTTAGAAATAGTACTCACCCAGAGCAGAGGAAATCATGTTGAAGAGTTGAAGCCCAAACTTGAGGAGACCTTATATACTGTGTGTGATCATTTTCTGCTTTCCAATAACTGAAAATCTTTTTCCTGTTCAGTCTTTTGTTTGTTAAGCAGCACGCCCACATCCACCTTTGTTCAACCCAAACTGACTCTTCCTTAAATTGCTCACCAGCAATAAACTCTTTCAACATTGCAAGTCTTTGTCAATACCAGCATTTCAGATGACACAGTTTCCTGTAGAGGCCCTCCCATCCTGCTATATCAATCAATCTTTTTTTTTTTTTTTTGTTTAAGCTTGGTACATTACAAACATGAGGATGTATATGTTTTTGATTATTTCTGGTGCTCAAAGGGAGTAGGGTGAAGTTTAAAAAACTTGTCGTCTCCTGCCCCAGTTGTTTCTGTACACTATGCCCAGCACTTGATTATTTCCCTGCAGCATCTTACACCTGCAGTTATGTGCTGGACTGTCTCAGGAGTCTCTTTGCACAGTCTACACCACAGGTGTCAAACATACGCCCCGGGGGCCAGATCCGGCCCTCCAAGATCTTCAATTCGGCCTTCGGCTGATTTTCTACTAAAATATTTTAATTATATTTTCTGTTAAAATCTTGTTAATTTTCTGTGGTGTTTATCACAGCAGCGTCTCGGTACGTGGCCCCTCCCACCAGAGGACCACAAATGAAGACTTGTCTCTTTCCAAACGCTCTTAAAGGACGATCGTTTTGACTGTTGACCGTGACACCCTCATCAGAAAAATGTCCAAAATGAGAAAAGTGGAGCTGAGTGCAGGATTTTCCAAGAAAAATGGACTTATTCCTATTTACATACAAGTTCATGTTAAAACATTGTGTTGAAATTGCATTTTGCTTAAAGTTTCAGGTTGTTCATGATATTATAATATTTTGTACAAGAAAGAGTTCATCAATTCAAAAAGATTTCTGTAATAGATTTGCATTTCTCTGCACAAATATTTGAACTTATTGCCATTTTTGGGGTTTATATGACATGAGTTTTTTGATCCGGCCCCTTTGGGATCAAAGTAGGTTGGATACAGCCCCCGGACCAAAATGACTTTGACACCCCTGGTCTACACCGTGGGTCTTGTCTGGTGTGGTAGATCTGGGCCTCTATTGCTCAGGTGCTCAGGGTCTGCTCCTGAGCAGCCAGGATCAGTGCCTCTGTGTGTCCTTCAGACCAGCCGTCTCAAACTACTGGTAGGATTTCTTGATATCAGCCTCTTCAGTTCTGTTCCGGTGGTTCGTGTAGGGGTTTGTCCTGCCATGATGGTCCCTCCAGCTCCTCTTCCTCTGGACCCCACTGTCTGAGACATTCTCTGAGCATCTCATCTGTCGGGGCCTTGTTCTTGATGTTCTCAAGGAGCTTGGATGTTTCATCCTGGACAGTGGTTCCCACACTCACTAGTCGTCTGCCTTCTTTCTTCCAGCTTGTGTACACTCTCAGGGTGCTGGATTTGGGATGGAACCCTCCATGCAGGTCAGGAGCTTTTGTGTCTTAACATCTGTGGTCTGTATCTCCTCCTTTGGCCAGTGCATGATTCCTGCTGGGATCTGATCACTGGCAGGGCGGAGCTGTTTATTGTCTGGGCCTTGTTCTTCCATTGAGCTGCTTCTTAGGACTTGCCTCCCTCGTTTCAGGTATTTGGCCGTAGCAGCTTTCCTTGTTGTCTCTTTAAGGAGCCATTTGTGGGATACCAAGGTACTTGTAACTGTCCACAACGTCTGCTATTGTTCCCTCTGGGAGTGAGACCCCCTCTGTGTGGACTACCTTCCCTCTCTTTGTCACCATCCTATTACATTTCTCAAGCCGAATGACATTCCAGTGTCTGTGCTGTAGCTCTTCTATCTTTGCTGTTCCTGTTCTGCACTTTTCTGAACTGAGATGTCTGATGTTTTTCCTGGTATCTGCTGGAGCCTCTTCCAGTTTGGGGGTTACATCCCCGAGTGCTCTGATCACCACGGGCACAACGGATGCCTTCACCTTCCAGGCCTTCTCCAGCTCTTCCTTGAGTCTCTGGTATTTCTCTAGTTTGTTGTGTTCCTTTCTCCTGACATTGCCATCACTTGGTATTGCAATGTCCACCACCAGGGCTTTGTTCTGTTGCTTATCCATCACCACTATGTCTGGTTGGTTCATCATCATCCTGTCAGTCTGTATCTGGAAGCACCTGCAAATACCTGCACATACACAACAATCAATCAAACTTTTTATAGAACCCTTTAGAACATTCAAGGTGACCAAACACAATAAAACCAACACAGTATAAAAACTAGGGGTGTCAAATTATCGCGTTAATTGCGATTAATTAATTACAGTCATATTTAGCGCGTTATGTTTTTTAATCGCGTTAATCTCATTTTTAATCTCTAACTTTACTGTTTCTGTATGCGAGTTGCTTTATTATAAAACCTGTTTTTATGTGTTGTTGGGACAACAACACACACACACACAAAAACACATTTATACATTTTTTTATTTCGGTAATTCCACTCATTGCCGGAAACCCACACAGAACGCGTGCAGTAAGAGCGATGTAAACGTCATGTTAACGTTGGCGGCGTCAGTCGCACAATGGACGAGGTTGAAGAGCCAGTAGAACAGAGGCAGCAGTGCACAGGTAAAAACACATTCTTGTTTTGGAAATTATTCTCCCGACGTGAAATATAAAAGAAAATAACAAATATAAAATCGCCTACAACTTAAATGTCACTGGTGAAAACAACCTGCATAGGCTCATGATGTCTGCACTACTGTCCTATAGTGACCTGCCACATGAGGGGACACGCACACAAACACAAACACACACACACACAAACAAACACACAAACACACACCTTCATCATCGTCATTAACCTGAGAACGCGCGGACCACGTTTCCTTCCGTTGACACTGCGCGGACACCGACGTGCTCCCGTGAGCCGCGTGTGGATCGTGTTTTCTCGCGTACGCGGCGTAAACCGCGCTTCCTCCTGTGCGCCTCTAAACCAGAACTAACACCAAGACTAAAACCGGGACTAACCCAGTCCAGGACTAAACCAGGACTAAACCAGGACTAAAACAGAACTAAAACCAGAACTAAAACCAGGTCTAAACCAGGTCTAAACCAGGACTAAACCAGAACTAACACCAGGACTAAAACCAGGATTAATCCATTCCAGGACTAAACTAGGACTAAAGCAGGTCTAAACAAGGACTAAAACCAGTGATCTCATATATAAAGCATTTCTCTATCAATAATATTTTTAATATGGTTAAGGAAAGACTGGACTTTTTATTGTCTTTAAGTAGACAAAAGTTATTATGTTCAGATTTCCTCGTCTTTGCTACTTTACAGCAAACAGTTTCTTATTCATGGAGACTTGGGCTCAACAGCCAAATTGGGGAGATTTGTTAAACAATAAATGACTTTATAAAGTCACTTTTTTTAATCTATATTAGTCTTTTGATCTGCCACAATAATGTAATAATGAATTTAAATGAAAATACCTCAAATTGAAGGCTTTTCTCAGCAATTTTTAGGTGAGATTAAAATGAGATTAATTAGATTAATTAATTACAGATCATAATTAATTAATCTCTCAATTTTTTTTATCGCATGACAGCACTAATAAAAACATTCAAAACATTAAACAATGAAAATAAAACAAATTGTGCAAAGTGTCACTGCATTATTGAGTGTTGAAGTGAGTCTGAACAAATAAGTTTGGAGCCTGGATTTAAACAGGCCAAAGTCTGTGATGGTGCACATATGGGGGCAGTTTGCTCCAGAGTCTGGGGTCAGTGACAGAGAAAGCCCCATCACCCCAGAGTTTGACTCTGGCTCCAGTAGAAGTTGGTTGTTTGAGGCTCTGTTTGAGCTGTGGACAAACAGGAGTTCAGTCAAATAGAGAGGAGCAAGATTGAGCTGTAAAAACAAACAATACAGTTTTAAACTCAATTCTAAAAGAAATTGGAAGCCAATGGAGAAATACAAGTAGAGGCTGATGTGCTGATGTCTGGGGGTGTTGTTTGTGCACGAGCTGGAAGGTGTGTGAGGGTCACTGAGACACACACACACACACACACCACCAGACTTTGTTCTGGAGCTCATGAACGGTGCCATTTAAAAAAGGCTTTATTTTCCATTAAAGACTGGTGATAGTTGATAAAAACTTTCACCACACTGTCAATCTGTTTGTCAAACCTCAAATTGTTGTCAAAAATAACTCTGAGGTTCTTTACAGTTGATTTGAACTTTGACGATAAACCAAAAAAATCAGAAAAAGAAGAATCACCAAATAAAATGTACTCTGTTCTGTCCACATTTAGGTGCAGGAAACTCATATTTCTGTGCATCAGATGCCCTCCCATCCTCCTGTATTCTTATAGTGTTAGACTGAGACAGACATCTGCAGATGTTGTGGTGTGTTTGGATAAATACAGCTGAAGAATGGACCTTGTCACCAATAGAAAAGATGAAGGAAACCATGAATGCATTTGACTTTTGGAGAGGCCTTGTAAAAACACCAGGTAGTGCAACAATGTGTACAAACAAGGAAGTTCCTCTTTCTGTAATCTTATGCAAGTTCAAGAACAACTACTTCCTCGTCAACTCTCACTCAAAATATACATTTGATTTTGCACAATGATCTACGACAAAGAGCAGATTAAATAACATGTAACTGGAAATCTCAACACTAAAGCACAAAAGCATGAAAATAAATAAATACATAAATAGATAAACACATAGATACTGCAGTGACTTCAGGTCTATGGTGAAATGTTTAGCAGTTGCCAAGTTTTTAGATTGCCTGAAAACTCATACTCAAGCCTGTGATCGTACGAGTGTTCATGGTCCTGTGGAGGAGTTTGATTTTCAACTAAAAAGTGAGAGAAGAGAGAGAAGAGAGAACACACTGAAATACTGTTGGGTAATTCTAGCAACCTTGAGACTGTAATATTATCAGAGAGAGACTTGTTTAACAGCTCAAATCAGATCACCCATTGTTCCAGAAAAGCCACTCCCTGGTCAGATTATGTTAAATAAAACAAAGATAACTTGAGTCACAGATCTTCAGACAGAGCAGTGCCTCTGACTCCCTGCTACACACTCGCTGCTTTGTACTTTCATTCTCCAGTTGTATTTTCTTAATCTGTGATACATGTAGAATTCAGCAGAGTCACGTAGTTATTCTGGTACAAATGTAAAAAAAAAAGCAGTTTGATGCAGTTTTCTGAATGTTAACGCACTGACACACTGTGTGTGTGTGTGTGTGTGTGTGTGTGTGAAAAGTGAGAACTGCTCTAAGTAGGCTGCAAATGAATTGCCCTATGGGATCAATAAAGTTTTTTGAATCTGAATCACGTCCTCCAGCTCTTCCGGGGGGATCCTGAGGTGTTCCCAGGCCAGTCGAGAGACATAGTCCCTCCAGTGTGTCCTGGGTCTTCCCGGGGCCTCCTCCCGGTGGGACATGAACACCTCTCCAGGGAGGCGTCCAGGGACATGTTTTGTATCATTAAAATTTTTTTTGCAATTATTTTTTTTACTATTATCTTTCAAATATTGCCAGTTCATAATAATAGTTCAGAGACACGATCGCTCAGTCAACAATCAAATATCCTCATTAATGTTCAATAATGATCAAATCCACCTTCATTTTGTGATTTTTGAATAATGTCTGTTGACTTGAGTCACAAAGGTTTGTGACTTTTAAAATATGGATCCGCAGAAAAAAAGTGTTGGAAACACTGATCTAGAGTGATGTGCAGCTCTCCACAGGAGGGGCCCACAACATGTGGCGTTTGTCGTCATGGCGTTAATGTCAGCTCAAGTTGGACACCTTTTATTAAGTTGTTGTTGATGAATATTGTGATTTAAAATGTCCAAATTATAACAGAATGATGGCTTTAAAGTGCATATGACAGTTAGACTCATTTCACTTAAACATCATCATCATATTTTACTAAAAATCTTACCTAGTTTTATTTTTTTTATAATAATTAATAATAATTTTTTAAGTTCATAATTTTACTTCCTGGTTAGACACGAGCAGCAGATGTGACATGTAAGGGCCATTCCACAACTGTTACCTAGCAACCATAATGTTAACAAGACCAAAACTACAGTGCATCTTTGACTTGTTTTATTTTCAGTATTTAAAAGGAATAATAATTGTGCCCAGTTATAAAAAATACATAAAATGCATTGAAGCCAAATGATCGGTGTAAAAAAGGGTAAAAATGTGAAACAAGTGTCCACATGTAGAGCTCCGCCCCTGCAGACAGGTGCTTGTATCAGGTTCCACTTCAATCACGTTGCCAGTGTGAATGTGGTGAGTGACGGCTGGTGGTCAGAGGGGCTGATACACAGAGTGACAGTCTCACTTTCATCAGTCTGCCCCAGGGCAGCTGTGGCTACAGTAGTGGCTCATCACCACAGAGTGTGGAGTGAATCAATAATGAAGTCCTGTTACAAAAGTGACACTTGAATCTTTAGACTTCAGCTTTGTTTAGCACAATCTGACCAGAAAGAGTGAACTTATGTGGAGCTACAACAGGAGAGCTGTTTGTGCTGTTCAACAAGTCTCTCTCAACAACAGCACAGGCACAAGGAACCATTAGCCAACAGTTTTTCACTGAGTCACTCTCACTTTTAGTGTAAAATCAAACTCCTAAACAGGACCATGAACACTCAGACTGATCACAGGCTCCTGAGAAAGTGCTCTTTTTTCTTTAAATCCATTTTGTGTTTTCAGAGTAGTGCTTTCAGCTAGCTTCAGAGAATCTGTACAAATGAGATCACAACATTCCTTATTTTTAAAAGAAGTGGCAACATTATACGAGTGTTGTTCTTCTGAAGACAGTTGTTTAAATCCAGTACCTGCTGTATCTTTTTGGAATATTTCAAACACTTCGCTGGGAAACGTTGTCAAATTCCACTGCTCTATGAAACGCGAGGCTTAGGTCACATGTTCAAACTGACACATTTTATTGGTTGAGTAAATACATGACTTTGTAAATTTGTCTTAATTCAACATCTAAAATGTGCATTTATTACTTGTATGTGTGTATGCATTTGTTTTAAATGCATTTTTAATACAAGACAAATAAATACAAAACAGAATTTCCACTTGATCCTTTCATACTTGTTTATCCTCCTTGGACTCTCTTGCATGGCTTTATTGATTTCTCTTTGTTATTTGGGCGATCGAGACTTGATGAGTGCAAGAAACTAAAGAATTATACTTTTATGTGATGTAGTTTCTGAGAAAAATGATGTCCATATTTGATATATAAAACATTCATTTGATGATGTTTTAATCATTTTTGATTGAACACAATAAAGTCACAATTCAATAATGATTTGCTAAAAATATTTATTAACTGCCTGAACAACCCAAAACATGTTGGACATAAATGTCCACACCTATGTGGATGGCAGGTCCTAGGAGGCTTCAGGAAGGTTTGTGCTCATATTATCTAGTAGTCAGTTTTAGGTATTACACTTAGAGTTGACGAGGGAGTTTGAATCTGAACATTGTCGGTAGCTTATGCACTTTATTTGACACATTCAAATCAGGTTAAGAGTCTCGTGGGCCGATCCAGATCGCCTCAGTACAGACTTCCGCAGTCTGGCTATTGGAGACCCAGACTCAAACAGATGCATCTGTAAAATAAAGAAAATATAGTTTTATGTGACAGTTCCAACAGTTACATTTTTTTTCAATAGTTTTAGCACATTTTGGTTTAGTTTGATCATTTGATTCAAATGATTATTTAAACAGGGCCACAGGTGGTCAGAACATTTCTCTTGAGTTCACACAGTTCTCAGGTTCTTTCTCAGAACACTGGACACGGCTCTCATTCACAAACACATGAGCAGTGAATTTAACTTGTTTTTTCAACACAAAAGGCCTGTTCTCATGTGGTACAGGATGTCTGCCCAAACTCTGCCACGTTCAATATAGAAACATGACAGCAAAAAGCAAATAGTTTGTAAAAAGTTGCAGTGCA